AATAGCCAAGTTATGGAAACAGCCAAGATGCCCCACCACTGACGAATGGTTTAAGAAAATGTGGTATCTATACACAATGGAATTTTATGCAGTCATGAAGAAGAAGGAAATGTTATCATTCACTGGTAAATGGATGGAATTGGAGAACATCATTCTGAGTGAGGTTAGCCTGGCCCAAAAGACCAAAAATCGTATGTTCTCCCTCATATGTGGACATTAGATCAAGGGCCAACACAACAAGGGGATTGGACTTTGAGCACATGATAAAAGCGAGAGCACACAAGGGAGGGGTGAGGATAGGTAAGACACCTAAAAAATTAGTTAGCATTTGTTGCCCTTAACGCAGAGAAATGAAAGCAGATAACTTAAAAGCAACTGAGGCCAATAGGAGAAGGGGACCAGGAACTAGAGAAAAGGTTAGATCAAAAAGAATTAACCTAGAAGGTAACACACACGCACAGGAAATTAATGTGAGTCAACTCCCTGTATAGCTATCCTTATCTCAACCAGCAAAAACCCTTGTTCCTTCCTATTATTGCTTATACTCTCTCTTCAACAAAATTAGAGATAAGGGCAAAATAGTTTCTGCTGGGTATTGAGGGGGTGGGGGGGAGAGGGAGGGGGCGGAGTGGGTGGTAAGGGAGGGGGTGGGGGCAGGGGGGAGAAATGACCCAAGCCTTGTATGCACATATGAATAATAAAAAAAAAAAAAGAGAATGAAGACGTGGACTGAGCATGCACCCACACCTAACTGGTATCATTAATTAGACAGCATTTTAGCAAAAGAGCCATGGAACTCAGTAAGTTGTAGGAAGCCCAAACATGAAATTGAGGTAATACAGCTGTGCACGGATCCCACTGAGAACAAAGCTAGAATGCATAACTTCCCATGCTATGGGCCAGATCTTCCAGGGCCCAAATGGAAAATTAGAATGACACATGACATGTATGTCCCCAGCAACTGAAAGGCGGTGTCAACCCTTGAGTGCCTCCTATAAGCCAGGTGTTATACTTGGCTCTCCCTTCATTGATTCATTTATTATTATAGTTTATGTGGCTTCTTTATTAAAAAACATAGGTCAAACATCTGCTGTGCTCTGGGCCAGTCCTTTCCCTAATGGACCTTCTGTTTCTGAGCAGTGTGCACAACCCTACTTTCCCAATAAGCTTGGCATGTGTGTCCTGGGATCATCCCATTCCAGAATGAGTCTGCACAGCAGGGGTATCCTGCATTTATGCTGAGGAGAACTGGCTGCCTGCCAGGCTGGCTTCTTGGTTATAACCAGTTTATCTGGGGTCCCTTAAAGTGAACAGCAATAAGTTTCACTAGAAGAAAAGATTTTAATGAAAAACAAAACCAAACCCCAAAACACTAAAAAGGACAGGTGAGAAAGGAGGGGAGTCTGGGGCTGAGGTGAGGAACTGGGTCAGGGGCTGGGACTTAAACTGAGTAAGCAGTTGTAGAATAATCATTTCCAAACAAATGCCCCAGAGGAGGGTGTTGAGCAAGTGGATCCTGCTGGAAGCCTGGCAGCCTCTGCCCCACCTTCCCTGAGAGCCACTGGCGCTGCTCTGTTCTCTGGAGCAACAGCTTGGTTCTGCTGTCTTGGGAGGCAGCAGGCCTTGCAGACCTGCAATGTCACCTTGCTGGGGCTTCCTGGAGGCCAGCTCACTTCCAGCTCTCCAGTAGATTGGACACTGTAGATTTGGCCCCTGTGAGCAGCCTGAACCTTGCAGCAGGGGCTGGAGGAGGAGGAGAATTTTTAATTTGTTTGTTTTTTGCTTTTTAAACCCAAATATTTGGTTTCTATCCTGAGAAGATTTGGCAACTGTTTTCAGCTAATGTGTTGAGCCTTTGGGAAGGAGAGATGACACTGGCAGGCCTGTGGAGGGAGCCCTGATGGGGTGGGACAGAAACCTGAGACTATTGCCAGAAGGATCTTTAGGGAACAGGCACAGGAGAGGCTGTGAGGACTCAGAGCAGTCACACATCAGGGGGAGCCTTGCAACTCCAAAAAACACCCCACAGAAATGAGTTTTTGATTACAGGCTTATTCCACAAGTGACTATTCTGTGCCAGGGGATGGAGGTTTTGGTAAAGATAAATGTGACTCTGACTCTGCCCTGAAGGAGTTCAGGGACTCCAATCACTGCAACATGAGGAGGACTGTGCTGACAAGGCTGTAAGGGAGATAGATCCGCTGCTAAGGAAGCATGGAGGAAGGGGAAATGTGTTCTTATGCTGAGACTGCCGTCAGCCTCCACACCCGCTAAGACTTTATTTCTCATCGGCTCAACAGTTAACCTCCCTCTCTGCTTAACATCAGGGCTGTTTTCTACCCTGCTGGCCAACAAATGTGCTATTGAAAACCTTTGAGGAGAAGCATTCAGGATCTCAGGGTTGCTGGCAGCTCATTGTAAAAGGAACTGGAGAGCAGGAGGAAGGATTTTGTTTTAGAGGATTCCTGTTTTGTTTTCAGAGACAGCAAAGTTTAAAATCTTTTACACCCACAGGTCGATATCCTTGTGGGGCAGTGGGAATCCAGGATAAATATTCCCATTTTATACAGGAAGAAATTAAGGACCACAATGGACATGAGTGACAAAAATCACTGACAGGTCAAGATTCCTAACTCCCATTTCATGTCCTTAAAGAATGCAATGCATGTTATTTAGAAAAGTACACTGAGATTACATGAAACATGAAACCAAAAAATATGGGCATAAAATCTTGTAGAATATCCAAGTTGCATCAGTCCTGATCTCCACATTTCAAGAGAAGAGGAGGACGCTCCTTCAACTTGATTTTCATAAATTGGTGAATGGGTCTGGAAGAGATGCTCAGTGGAGGCAGAGGACAGGAGACCAGGTGAGAGCAGAATCAAAGTGTTTATGCTACTGAGGGCCCAGCACAGGACTAGGGCACAGCAGATGCTCACTGTTTGTGTCTTTCCTATACAGAGGGATTAAGACCTCCCCGAAGCTGGCGGTGCCTCGGCATAGTCATAGTGGAGTAATGGACGATTAGGGCGTTGCTCAGATATCCACAGATAATGACACATTTGGCTTTGCATTGTGAGTCTCTCCAGAGCTTTTAGCTTTATGATTTATTTGCATGATCATAATTATATAAGCCAGATTGAGGGAAAAAAAATCAAGGAGACATGGATTTGTTTTCTTCAGCAATTTTTCTTTTTACAGCAAATTAAATATCTTGACTAGTTCTCTGTTCTTTATTCCCATTCCTATCCTGGCCATGTAGTCAGCACATAGTGCTAGAAACTTGGTGAGGGGACAGTAGAAAAGTAAATAAAGTTTTTTTGCATTTCTACTATTAACATGCAACTGTGTTTTGCACACGTGTATATTTTCTTGCCTTTCTTGTTGTTCTCCTCCTCCTTTTCCCCTTCAGTTCCCCCTTCTCCTCTTATTTCTCCTTTTACTCTGTCACTTTTTGTGGATGTGGAAACTGAGAAACTGAGGCTCAGAGAAAACTATGAGTTTTAGCCAAGGTCATTTTTCTAAAATACAATGAAACACTGACAAGCTCAGAGCTGATGTTTCTTACATTATTTTATGCTGACTTTTGCTAGGATATGAGCATCCTGGTTCTGAAATCAATGCTGCCTGCATGGGGTTGCATGGTCTGAACCATCAAAAGAAAGAACAACATGCCAAGTTTGAAAGGAAAAGGAAATATCTTTGCTTCACTCAGAATAACAATGATACCTAATATTTACATTGTGCGTTATGATTTTCAAAACACTTCATAGGAGTTTCCCATTTTATAGCTAAGAAGACAGAGCCTCAGAGTTTAATTCTAGATCATACAGTCAACAGATGGCAAAACTGGGACTTAAATCCAGAACGTCTGACTTTCAACTCAATTCTTTTGTTTCAAAATGTCTTTCCCAAATACTTGGCCACATGGACAGAGGAGAGACTGTGGCTGAGTTTGGGGATGCTCTGGGCATCTGGTGACTTTGGTTAGACTGGATGGGTCTTCTGATGCTCATCCATCTCTGGATGTCAGCAAAGAGCCCCTTCCTAGTTGTTTGGTAGAATCACCAGGCAATATATGATTGCCAAATGACTGAGCCTATCGATACTTGGATCTGGAAGTTTATGTAAAGCCTTTGCACCCTTCCACTGGGTGCCTTGAGTCACACAGACCAGGGAACAGAGAACCTTTCCTTACACCCCTTGTCCTTTGTGTGTTCGTATAGAAAGTGCTAGTTATTAAAGCTTCCAGTTATAGTACCAAAATGCTCCTCTACCCGGTGAGTGGTTATTGTGTATTTCTGGTGTGACATGGAAGGAAAGAATTAAGATAGCTTTTAAACAAATGACCTTTATTGCAGCATCCCAGGCCAACCAACCTCTCTCTTTAAGAGGATGCTGATCTCTCAACATCACAATCATGCTCTGCAGTGTGCTCCCCCACATCCCCTGTTTTTCTGACAGTCATCCTGGGCTATAGGAAAGCCAGGAGAGTCAATAGGCTATATTGAGGTGCTCTCACAGTCTCTAAACCCGACCTCCTTCTCATCATTGAACTGGGTGGTAAGGCTGCACAGGCCTGGGTGGTGGCCAGCTTCTCGTGGGTCGATCCAGAACAAGTTGCAGCATTCTGCAGTAGATCTTTTTTTTTTTTTTTTCAGGTTGAGAAACCTAATTCTTAATCTCCTTTTCTGATGATTTTACAAAAGCCAAATTGCGCGGCAGATGCACAGATAAACAGGAGAAGTTCGCAATCAAAGCAACTTCTAGAGTGAAGCTGATTAGTAGATTTTTAAAATGGCTATTAGCTTGATACTCACTCACCAGGAGTAGCTTCCAGGCAAACCAAACCCATGCATAAGTGGGCCAACACCCATATTCACCAACACCTAGTTGGTAGGTATATAAGGGGACCCTGACAGTCTCCTGGTAGCACAGTTCAGTGACCAACCTCGGCTCTTCTCAGGAACCTTTGACTTTTCTAACTGGACAAAGGCATCATGAGTTGTCAGATCTCGTGCAGATCTCGAAGAGGAGGAGGAGGTGGAGGAGGAGGAGGAGGTGGAGGATTCCGGGGCTTCAGCAGTGGCTCAGCTGTGATATCTGGAGGCAGCCGGAGATCGACCTCTGGCTTCTCCTGCTTGAGCCGTCATGGTGGTGGCGGTGGTGGCGGTGGTGGCTATAGCAGTCAGAGTCTTGTTGGCCTTGGAGGGAGTAAGAGCATCTCCATCTCTGTGGCTGGAGGAGGTGGAAGCTTTGGCTCCAGTGGTGGATTTGGTGGCAGAGGAGGTGGCTTCGGAGGCGGCAGTGGCTTCAGAGGTGGCTTTGGAGGTGGCAGCAGCTTTGGAGGAGGCAGCGGTTTTGGAGGTGGCAGCGGCTTCGGAGGTGGCAGTGGCTTCGGAGGTGGCGGCTTCGGTGGAGGTGGTTTTGGTGGAGGCCGCTTTGGAGGTGGCAGTGGTGGTGGCTTTGGAGGTTTTGGGGGACCTGGTGGCTTTGGGCCTGGAGGATTCCCTGGTGGAGGCATCCACGAAGTCTCTGTCAATCAGAGCCTCCTGCAGCCTCTCGATGTGAAAGTTGACCCAGAGATTCAGAATGTGAAGTCTCAGGAGCGGGAGCAAATCAAAACCCTCAACAACAAATTTGCCTCTTTCATCGACAAGGTGAGTGAGGAGAAGCTGCTCCTTCGGATGCTCTGGATGCTGTGCTGTCAGTGCTGGTTGAAAAGGAAACGACTCAGATTCATCTCTTAGGAGCAATTGGTGTGGCCATCGCAGCCTGGGTTACTTGCAAATTCCAAGTGGGAGAGATGCTGGCTTTGCAGGCTACCTTTTCCACAACAGTTGGCAGTTAGGAGTTGTTTGTTTCTTTGCATTTTGTTTTTCAAGTCCAAATAAATAACATTTATGGAGACTTCGGACAATCACAGAAAAATTGATATAGATAAGGATTGGACTGAGCAGGTCAAGCCAAGTGAAAGCAGGTTTTGAAAGGGTTAGGTGAGTGAGATATGCTTTTTAGGTAATTTTGTCCCCCTCTGGAAAGTTACTATTCTATTCAGTTCTGGGAAGCTGAACTTGAAATATCTGCTTGGGGATGAATGAAACTCCAGCCTTCAAGAGAAGCATTTCCAGACCCATAAAGTCTTTACTGGTGTCACTTTGGGGTGTTGCTGAGTTTTCTCTTGTTTCAAGACAGACAAACCTGTCTTGGTTCATCTGCTTTGAATTGGGCAGGCATTTACGAGGCTTTAAAAAAGCAGGCAGGGGAGCCTGCCAGGACTCTCAGCCTCAGCACTGTCAGTTGCAGTGCCAGTGGATGCCTGCTTTTGGCTTTCTCTAACTTTATGGGACCTTGGCGGGGAGGGCAACTAACATAGGAGAGGGAAACTAGAGTCTTGGGAGAAACTGCAAACAAGACAGTGGGAGTGAAGTAGGAGAGAGAGTTTTGTGTGTGGAGAGCACCAGATGCAGAATTAGGAGTTGGTAGAAACTTTCCAGGTGTGAGGGCAGGGAGCTCAGGAGCTCTGCCAGGCAGGCAATTTCTAGCATCTCTCCAGCTGGCAAGGACGAAGCCCCATGACTTCTCTACCAGAGCTTCCTGGGGCAAGTGTGCCTCGCTGGTGTGGAGGGTGAACCAGACCTTATGTGCTCTTCCTCTGGTCATGACAGGTGCGCTTCCTGGAGCAGCAGAACCAGGTGCTACAGACTAAGTGGGAGCTGCTGCAGCAGCTGGATGTGAGCACCCGCACCATCAACCTGGACCCCATCTTCCAAGCCTACATCAGCATGCTCAAGAAACAGGTGGATGATCTCACTGCACAAAGAACCTCACAGGATTCGGAGCTGAGCAACATGCAAGATCTTGTGGAGGATTTTAAGAAGAAGTAGGTGGCCTAGGAAATCCTGAGTGGAGATAGATATTGAATGGCTGTCCACTTATCTCCCAACTGCATTTGTGTTAATGGAGGAGAGAGGTGTATCTGTCTATTATATGTGAAGAAAACTTGAGAACGTATTATTCACATGTTTAAGAGTTAATTTATAGAAATCTATCTGCATTTGGGATATCATAGTTTCAATTTAAGTTTTTAAAAAGTGTTTAATATTCATAGAAAATGAGGCATTTTGGGTGGATCAATTAGAAAAAGGAAAAGAAAAATAAATGACTTGGAACTAATCTAAATGTAATATCATCTCATATCAACAGGTATGAGGATGAAATCAACAAACGCACAACTGCTGAGAATGATTTTGTGACACTTAAAAAGGTGAGCAAGAGAATTCTATGGCCAGGTTTGGAGTAGGGGTGCTTCGCACCCCACTGTGTCCAGACAGAGAGGCTAGAAAACAATAGAGTGTACACAGCAGTGGCCAGAGAAAGGGGTGGATATGTCCATGGGCAGTTCTCTTAGGAGCCAAAGGGTCTTATAGTTCAAATTTTTGGGGATGATTTTCCATGGTATTCTGCGTGTTTGATAGAGTTCTTCCTATCAATAACTCACTTAAAGCCTATACTGGATCATGAAAACTGCAAACATAGAAAACACTTTATTCTTCTAAAGAGCTGGGGAGAAACTGGACTTCCTCTGAATGCCTGCTTACAGTTGGGTTTCGTTTACAGAGATCTCAGCTAGAAGGCTAAAAAGTGTGGGTTCTCAGCCTGGTTCCTATAGGGGCCTTGGTGTACAATCCAGGGAAATTCAGGGGAGGTGGGATGGACAGACAAGACAGGAGGGTTGAAACTGTGAAAAGGCACAGAGGCCATTGCACCCATCATGGAAACACACCTTGTCTCAAGCAGGAAGGAGAAACTGGTTGGCAGACTTGGCTCCATGCAAGCTTGCATGGTCCTGGTGGGTGATATTGGCATGGAGTCCCCCACAGAGGAGCATGGTGGAGGGCATGCCAAAGGAGATCCTATTGAAATATGACTTATCTAGCGGTGCCTGGGACACTGGAAAGCAGCTAACAGATACTAGGTGGAGGGGAGCAGCAGAGAAAAACTGGGACCCATATAGGGGACCATGCAAGGTGTGGGAGGAACATGAGTTTCACCAGAGCCCTTCATTTCCCTGCAGGATGTGGACAGTTCCTACATGGACAAGACAGAACTGCAGGCCAGGGTGGACATTCTGAGCCAAGAGATTGAGTTCCTGAGAAGTCTCTATGAGATGGTAAGGACATCGCCCCTGGATAAACCATTACTTCCCACCCTTCCCACCAAAGGAAAGTCCTACCCAACTGTTGAAAAGGCAGCAAGAATGGGGTTTATGGACTGGCTGACTTCAATTTATCACCAATCCAGCTCACTAGGGGGCTTCTATAGCGCTGTTTTGGGGGAGAACTTCCTTCTCTGATGTCACAGGAAGTGAGGTTCATCCCAGCTTCATAGCCTGCAAGTCCTGCTTCCCTTAGGAAGACACCTCCCTGCTGTGCCCATTCCTATGCACAATATACTTCAGAGGTCAAAATGCATTAGGCCTCTTACCTCCCTTCCTGGCCCAAGGGCACATGTGTGATTTCTGAAATAGGAAGTAAAATTTAAAGTATTTGCCGTGGATAAAATTCTTTCTGGGACACTTACTGGCATAAGTAGTGAAGGCTGCTAACTAGGAGGCTCAGAAATGCAGACACCCTCCCCACAATCTGAGGACAACCCTGGGAGAGGTCTAGGAATGGTGGCAATGTCATTTTTCATCCTACTTGGGGCATGCTTAGTCTGAGAGTCTGCATTCCCTTCCCCTGTGCGTTGTAGGAAATTTCCCAGCTACAACAGACTGTCACTGACACCAACGTCATCCTGTCTATGGACAACAACCGCCAACTGGACTTGGGCAGCATCATCAAGGAAGTTCAGACCCAGTATGAAGAGATCGCCCAGAAGAGCAAGACAGAGGCTGAGGCGCTGTACCACAGCAAGGCAAGTACTGGGGAAGCAGAAGGGAGCCATGGCTTCTTACAACAAGCTGGGCTGCCCCCAACTCCCCAGTCAGGATGTGCACAGGAAGATTACTAGTGCCTTTATCTAATGGTAGTTGGGCATCATTCCCAAGAAAGTGTTGAGAATGGCACCAAATCCTTGGTGGGGTGGCAGTGGTGGTGGTGTCACTATATTCAGCTTGGTTGACCATCCCTGGACCAGTCACCAACCAACTTCTTAGCTCAAGCTAAACCGACCCCAGAGTGGACTTCCCTTGAACTCTTCCTCTCTTCCTGTATCAGTATGAGGAGCTCCAGTTCACTGCTGGGAAACATGGAGAAAGCCTGAAAGAGATCAAGATGGAGATCAGTGAGCTGAACCGCATGATCCAGAGGCTGCAAGGGGAGATCTCACACGTGAAGAAGCAGGTGAGGCAGGGCCTATATGACGAGGGAGAGAAAGAGAGACTGAGAAATTCTAATCTAGTTTATATTAATCTCAATCTCCTCCACCTAAACAGAATGCAAGGCTGTAACAGTTTTTGGAGTGCGCTAAGATATATTTTAAAATTATGATCATTTTTTGGTTGTCTACAGGAATAGACGGAGCAATAGCAAAGCAAAAGTTTGTTTGACTTATGGTAATTGCAGACATAGCTTCCTGTTTTTCCGTGGTGCACGTCCCACCAACCAACTGGGTTCACAGAAGGGCAAGGAGTTAACTTTGGGGCAGATAAGGGGCAGAGTGTACTCCATAGATGGCAGAAGTTCTGCAAAGCAGCCTGTATCGAATGTCTTTATTTGCATGTATTATGTGTGTATTTGTAATAAATATGTATTTATTTGCATGGATGATGATCCTGGCCTTGTGCTGTGAGGGTCAAGGGCATCATGGGGAAAGTCAAAGGGAAGTGGGAGGAAGATGCCCTGAGACAGTGGAAGTCTTAGCACAGTTGTGTATGACTTGCATCAACTCCAGGGGGGCACTCAAGACTTCCAGGGCCAGCAAGTCTAGCCTTCTACACTGAGCATCTTGTTCCCTGTCCCCCTCTGCTAGGCAGACTTTACCTTGTACAAACAGAAATCTTCCCTCCTCTTTCACAGTGCAAGAGTGTGCAAGACTCCATTGCAGATGCTGAGCAGCGTGGAGAACATGCCCTCAAAGATGCCACGAACAAGCTCCAAGAGTTGGAGGAGGCCCTGCAGCAGGCCCGGGAGAACCTGGCCCGGCTGCTGCGTGATTACCAGGAGCTGATGAACGTCAAGCTGGCCCTGGATGTGGAGATCGCCACCTACCGCAAGCTGCTGGAGGGCGAGGAATGGAGGTGAGGCGTACTGGGAGGGAAGAAGGATATGCTGGTCTACTCTCTCCTTTCTCCTTAAACCAGGGCGGGAGAAAGGGCAGGAAAAGCAGAGGATGGGAAAGGACCTCTGGTGGCTAAGGACATTTCTGCTCAGGGGACATTTATTATGTTCCCCCAGCAGAAATTCAGGATGGAAAGTTACAGTGTAGAGTGTATTATCAATATGGAATGACTGGCAAAGCATATTATTATAAATTAGATTAGGCAATAAATTAAACATCCTGATCTTTTCTGAAAGAGCAAACAAGATGATGTGAACACAGGGTCATCGAGACAGATGAATTTTTGGTCTGTAAGTCTGCAGGGTGGGTGGCCTTCTCTCCCTCCACAGTGTGTCCCAGGATAGGGAAGATGGGACTTACCTAGCTCAGCAGGGGCAGACCTGGTTCTTTGCAGGTTTCCAGAATGACAAAGAGAACTACTTGCTAACTAATCTTCAAAGAGGGGCCCTTTGCTTTCTCTGTAGTCTGAAAGATTTGGTGACTTAATGTGGTTGAAGCAACTGGAGGGGAAAAGCCGCCCTGGGCCATCAGTAAGCCAGTTTGACAAAGGAGCAGCCTTGTCCAGGCTGTCACTCTGCACCTGTCTGAGAGGCAATGCCCTTGCCCCCAGCTTGGAAGGACAGACAGGAAAGGCTTCGGTGGAAGTTGAGGAGGGAGAGGATGGAGAGAGCATGAGGCAGGCTACACAGAGCTGCAGTTCCTTCTGAATTGAATGTTCACAGTGCACCTGCATTTTGAAGTTCGAGGCATGGCATGAATTCTGAATAACAGATTCCCTAAGATGGGTTTAAATACAAAGTGAGTTGCATGACCAGAAGCAAATCTGCTTTTTCAGTTACTCTGGATCAACCTGTTTATTTTAAGCAGAGTAAAAAATGAGATGGATCGAGATGCAAGGCTATGGCTAGGTGTGGGGTCTGTTATCACTGTCATCTGGCAGCATAGAAGAAGGTGGGATCTAGAAGCCCCCAGTGGATGATTTTAGTAGCTAAACTTCACATATGTAGATAAAACAAGATGCATGCAGAGTCTACGTGCTCTGCCACAGCTTATTTTCTCTGTTTACCTGACAGAATGTCTGGAGAATTCAGCAGTAACGTGACTATGTGTAAGTAGTGGGGTGTCATCCTGTCTATGGGGTGATGGGGGGGCAGAGGTGGTCAGAACGGCTGTGGTAACACCATCTCTTCTGTAGCTGTGACAAGCAGCACCTTGTCTTCAAATGTGGCGTCCAAGGCTGGCTTTGGAAGCCACAGTTCTGGAGGTAGAGAGTCCAATTATGGAGGAGGAGGAAGATACAGTTCTGGAAGCAGCAGTTATGGCACTGGAAGCAGAGGGTCTGGCTCCCGAAGTGGAGGTGGAGGAGGCTCTGGCAGTGGCTCCAGAGGAGGCTATGGCTCTGGAGGAGGATTCAGCTCTGGAGGAGGCCACGGCTCTGGAGGAGGATTCAGCTCTGGAGGAGGCCACGGCTCTGGAGGAGGATTCAGCTCTGGAGGAGGCCACGGCTCTGGTGGTGGCTCTGGAGGTAGCTATAGAGGAGGCTCCAGTTCGGGAGGAGGATTCAGCTCTGGTGGTGGCTCTAGAGGAGGGTCTGGCTCTGGAGGAGGATTCAGCTCTGGAGGAGGCTCCAGCTCTGGAGGTGGTTCCAGGGGAGGCTCTGGCTCTAGAGGGGGAGCTTCTAGTTCTGAGAAGGGTGGTTCTGGCTCAGGGGAAAGTTATGGCTCCGGTGTGACCTTCTCTTTTAGATAAATGGGATCCTTTGCTGACTCTTCCACCCAGAAAATAGAAACCTGTCTCTGTACCTCTAACTAACAGCAAATCAAATTTTGTCATCCACTTTTGATGGCATTTTCTGGGGGGTGGGGTGGGAAGGGATGCTTACATACAGATTTTGGAAGACCTTATCTGTAAAACAACTGGTTAGAGACAGTGACACCCATTGTGTTCTGGGAAAGAATCTGTGATGCCAAAGTGTGTTTCTAGCAATGCCCCACTCCTGGCCTCCTGTGCCTCCTTGTCTTGTCCATTTGGTGGTCCTCAGATGGTGTTCTGCTGAGGACCCCAGGGCAATCTGCTGAATCCATCCCCTGGCTGTGCACTGGGGAATCCATGCTTGTGTGTACATAGCCCCTCTGTGGACTCTGCTTTCTGAGTGCTGTGGTCTGGGTGTCTGCACAATAAAATTTCTTTGCAATTGATATCAAGTGATGTCTCTTTGATGACAAACCTTAGCAAAAGTGGGTGGCCATAGAGAAAGGAGATTTGAGAGTGATAAAGGGGGGTTCCTGGGTGAGGGGCAGGTCCCTGAGGGAGGTGTGGCTGAAAAAGCCCAGTTGTTTCTGTCTGGGAGAAAGGCGCAGGGCTGGCCCCGGAGTCTTGGCTAGACGTGATGTTCCCAGGAAGAACTTGACAGATTGGAGCCTGTGACATGGCCAGGTGGTAGGCAGGAGCAATTTGTAGGAAATTTTCTTTCTAGAAGGAAGTACTGTTTGTGAGAAGTATTTCCTCACAGACCTCCCTTTCCTTTTTTGACAAGAGCTTAGCTCTGAAGACATTTTTGCTCAGGGAAAACCAGCTGAGCCACTGAGCGTGCACACAGGCTTCTGTAGCTCCGAGTTTCCAAGTCCCTCAGCCCTGCATAGGACACAGCCTCTCGTGTTCATGTGGACATATGCCCCCTGGATGCTCTGGGCAAGGCTGAAGGAGACACCTGGAAGTGTCTGGAGGGCTCCAGAATAATGAACATCAGTGTTCACAGATGATAGGTCCCCCTGAACCTATCTCCTTTTAATCTAGGGTCTCCCTGGTGTCCCTGCTCGTAGATGTCTCAATCAGGGTGGTCTTATCCTGTGAGTGTGGAGATAATTTCAGCCTGTCCTCCAAAAGGCCTTGTCATCTGTCTGAGGCTTCCAGAGAGATCAGGAATGGTTGGGCAGGTGGGTTGGTATTAGACTAGCTAGAGCTGCCCAAAGGGGAGTGGGTAGCTTATGTGGGCTTAGGTCATATCCATATACATGGTGTACAGACATGTACACAGGGATGCTGTGTACCCTGAAGATCATTTGCCCCCTTATTCTACTCCACTTTTAAGACCTTGGCGAGGCCTCGTTGAGCCTGTGATGCTCCTGATTCGCAGGGGTGGCTGTAAGAGATACAGGAGGCATTCATAGAGAACAGTGCCTACACTGACCCACACCAGCCAGGCCCTTGGGTTGAAGGTGCTGGGCAGGAAGCACTCAGGTGGCAAGGTGACAACACAGGAGTCTGAACATTCTTAGGTGATACGTGCTTCAAGCGCGGCCAGAACTGCCCAGGCCTCGGTCAGGCAGGAGAGGGGGGTAGAGGTTGATGACGAGGTTGGGAAGAAGCATGGGGTGGCTGGTTTAGGGTATATACATCATGCGTACACGAACACAGTCTTAAACAGGTGTCCCAGACATTTGAGGTAGGAAGGAAGCTTCAGCAGTCAGTGGATTTGAATTGAGGTAAGGAAACAGGTAAGGCTCAGGGTGGCCATTCTGATAACATGCTGAGGGGGAAAGAGGGGAGACAGAAAAGGTGGTAGCTTTTATTCCACCACCTTAATTCCTAACACTGTCAGTGGTCAGTGGTCTGTGTCTCTGATTGCCTTCAAGTTCCCAGCTCACTGCCCCACTCAAACCCAAGCTGCTTTCGGGCTGCACTCCCAACCATGATCAGGAATATGAACTTGTGGCTCTCCGAGGTAATGGGTGAGGGGTAGATCTGAAGAGGGTTCTCTGTTCTTTCATCATACCTCTTCCACCAAGTGCCCTCTGTCTTACTTCCACTAAAATTTGATAATTGACTTGTCAGGTCCTGGGCTCAAGGCAGAAGGGTTTAATAAGCTCATTTTTATAGGAAACCGGGCTAAAGATTGACATTCTGATGGTGTTGCAGGACACTTGAGGCTGGTGGCGTGACAGCCACAGTTTGCAGGCTCTGTGGTGTGTTCCATTCCTGGCACATTGGAAATCAGTGGACTCACTACAAAATTGGAGATCGGAAGAAAGAATATGAAGAATATGTGACTTCAGACAAATTATTTAACAATTCTAAGCTTTTATTTGCCTATGAAAACAAACAAACAACAAACTCTGAATAAACTAAAGATGAAGGGCATTCTCTAGCAGATGGCCTTTGTACTTTATCTTCCTGGTTCTACAGCAGACTGCCTTTGGACTTGAACCGTATTCTCCATCCTATCAGGTTTAGGATTGCCCAGTCTCACAATCATGTGAGCCAAGTTCCTTAAAATAAATCTCTTTCTACACACACACACACACATACACACACGCACACACACACACACACACACACACACACACACACTGAAAAATGGAGTGGAAGGGGATGGGGAAGAGAGAGAGAGAGAGAGAGAGAGAGAGAGAGAGAGAGAGAGAGAGATCTTCCTTAGCCCAATGATAAAGGACATCTATAAAAACCCACAGCTAACCTATTAAATGATGAAAAGTCTTAATGTTTTTCATGTAAGGTCATGAGATGGGGAACAAGCACAACTCCTTCTCAGTATCATACTGGTATTCCCAACAGGGCAAGAAAAAGAAATTTTGAAATACAGATTGGAAGAAGAATATAAGACTAATTTTATGCCTGTTATGTAATTGTCTATGTACAATATACCAAAGAATCTTACTAGTTGATGCAGTTCTGTATTTTTGTGTTGCACTGCACTGAGAAAATCTTTTTTTTGACTGAGTCTCACTATGTAGCTCAGGCTGGCCTTGAACTTGTGATCTTCCTGCTTCAGCTTCCCGATTGCTGGGATTACAAGCCTGTACTACCACAACCGGACTCATAATTAATTTTCAAATGTTAAACCAATCTCATGTTCTTAGAATAAACTCTATTTTGTCATCCTATATTATTCCTTTTGTATATTGCTGAATAAAATTTGATATTTCAGTGGGAATTTTTGTATCTGTCTGGAGCAAAATATGTCCTGGTTTAAATTTCACTAGTGTGCTGTATGTGCCAGCAGTGGCTCTGGGACAAGAAAGAGTAACAGGGTATAAAAGGATTAACTTTTGCTCTGCACTTTATACTCTATCCTGTTGCTTGTGATTTTACGCAAAGCATATATCTCTTTTATAATAAGAAAAAACCCTAAAAAGATATACCTTTCTTCAAATATTCATTGTGGCAGATCATGAGGAGCTACTGAAAATTTCTGTGAAGGGTCTGAAGCTAGAAGTCTGCTGGGTGACTGGAGCAGGGATACCCCGAAGGGGTGTTCCAAGACACACAGGGGAGGGGCTGGAAGCAGAAGGCTTGGGGCTAATTGCAGCCAGCTCTTTCATCACCTGTTTAGACTAGAGATGTCTTAAGGGAGACAGAACATGCTCTCAAGTTCATGACCTTCTACAGAGCTTGATCCAGGGGCTGACATGCCCACGGAACTCAAGATAAACAAGAAGAAAGAGATTTTTAAAAAGATAATGTCTTCCACTGGAATTCCAGTCTGGCCTGAAAAAAAGAGTAAGGAAAAAAAAAATAGAGGGGATTGCACAGTCATATTCTGTGTGTGCCTGGGAACCCAGTCATTCCTTCCTCTTGTCACTTGTCTCTTTGGCTTGACTTGGCCATCCTCTCACTTTTGTCCTACTGGTTTTCTGTGACCTAGCTCAGATCCCTCTTTCCCAACCCCCTGAAATGGGGCTCTTCCCCTGTCTCTGTTAAGATCATCCTCTTCCCTGCTCCAAACCCTGCCCATGCAGGGATTCAACCCAAGTCTCCTCAGCATTTATGGATTCAGTATTTTATGCAAATCAACACATATGTATTGAGCTTGGAATCAATTGGCCTTGGTTTAAAGTCCTGCTTCTATTACTTAGCTAGTTAAATCATTTGAACAAAACACTTAGTCTTTTGAACTTTAGTTTCCGCTTTTAAAAAATAAAGACATTAGCAGCAGCTACCTCCTGGTGCTGTTGTGAGGATTAAGGGAGATTATCTTTGAAAAGCACTTAACAGTTCTGGAACACAGTAATCAGGCAATAAATGTTATTTGTGCTGCTGCTATTGCATATATTGTATATTGCAATATTTATTGTCATAAAATGTCAATGACAAAAGCTAACATTTATATAACAGCTGGATAGATAGAGAGGACAGATGTCATTATCACCCCATTTGACAGATGAAAAACTGAAGCTGAAAAGCTCAGAGTTACAAACAAGGAAGCGGTAGAGCTGGAGTTGAGAACTATGGCTGTGGATCTTACATTCTGCTGTGTCCTCATTTTCCTCTACACACTCCTCTCTCTCCCTTCTCTGGATCTCCCCCAGTGAGCAGGGAAGGGGGAAGCTCGTGCAGTGGGTGAGACCTCTTACTGAGCCTGGCTGGGCAGGGACAGTACAGGATTATATCTGGGGAGACATCTCAGCTTCTTAGCCTAGGTCCAAGTAAGAGAGGTCGCAGAACCCTGCCAGGCAAATGTGTTATCTTGTAGGTGACATCTTCCAAGTCTTCATTCTTAGGTGAAAGAGGAGAAAAGCCATTTGTCAATGTGATAGCCTGTATTTTCCTGGCCTGAAGAAAGGGTAGATAAGAGAAGCCTGAGCCTAGAATATTCTCATCGATAGCTTGCCAACTAGTTATGGAGTGAGCAAGGAAAGGGTCAACGCCCTTGGCCTGCTTGGCGGCGTTCTGCAAGGGTTCGTCACCTCTTTGCGGAGGAGCGTAATCCTTATGGGGCTTGGTCGCTTCTGTTAAGGAAGTAATGCTGCTCATTATTTTAAACTTAGAAAACCGGAAAGACAAAAGTTGTAAAAATCAACCATAGCAGAAAACAACTTCTGTTAACACTTTAATATTTTACTTTGTGAACATGTTTTTCAAGGTATTTAGCTTGACAATATTATATACACATACAAATATACACTGAACATGTACCAAAAAGTGGGGCTGGTAGAGGAGACCAAGAGAGAAAGAAAAGAAGGAAAGAAACAGGTGGGCACTAACTTGGCAACGGTAGCATTTGGATGTGTGTGAAAGGTAGATTCGTTTCTATTTTTTGCATTCTCACATTTTCCATAATAAACAGATGTTGTGAGGGTAGAAAAGAGAGCAGCTCAGGTAGGTCTGGGTGTTATGGCAGGGTAGTCAGAGGAGAAACCAAGCGACACTCAGAGGAGTGGAGAACTCAGGTTTTTTTATTTTTACGCTAGCGGGCCCAGATGTGTACCAGTGTCTGAGCCCTGAACAAAGGATTCACAAGATATTTAAAAGGTAGTGTAGGGCATCAGGTTACAAAGATGTGCTCAGGTCATGGTGTTCTAACCAGTGAGTTAGATTGTTTAGGTTAATTGGCTGGTAGTGAGCTAGGAACCTAGTGTTGTTTAGATAAGAACAGCAGGGGAGACCTGCTTTGGGAAGTTTATTTACAAGTGGAGACAAAGAAGGGCAGGAATGGGTGCTTATCTCTGCTTGGTGCCTCTTATCTCGGTCCTAAGCTTTTGCAGGGCTCTAATGGGCAATTCCTCACAGCTCTGTCCAAGGTTACAGCTTTTAATTGACAGTTTACCATGTTTTACAACCCTGTTCCAGGGCTGTCTTCCTCTTCATGGGTAGGTACTGGGTTCTCCACTTATTGCCTTGGCAGAGAACTGCCCTTTAAGATGCCATCTGGGGGTGAGCAGAAGGGTGAGGTGGTGCTCAAAGATGCCCAGGGTAAGCTGGTCAAGGTGGAGGCTGCCTTGCAACAGGCCAAGCAGAACCTGGCCCAGATGCTGCATGACTACCAGGGGCTGCTGGGAGCCAAGCTCTCCTTGGATGTGGAGATTGCCACCTACCACAAGCTGCTGGAGGTTGAGAAGAGCAGCTAGGCCTCCCAGAGGGGATGGGATGAGCAAGTGTACTTGCATGACTCACAGAATAGCTTCCATGTTGGCTTTCCCTCCTATGACTTATCCATGACAAACTCTGGTCCTGATGGCCTCAAATGCTGCAGACCTTCACGTCTCTAAACATTTCTTCTCTTGGACAGGTAAAGGAAATAAGAGAAAGACAGAGAAAAGGCATCATTTTCTTTAGCTTTGCTCAGTGCAGGCCTGGCTGGTGTGATCCCAGATTGGAGAAAAACTGGAGAGGTACTCTGAGTGGAGGGGCCTGGAAGAGGCTCAGGTCTTGGAACAGTGGTAATGGGTAATTGTGGGTGGGGAGTGAGTGGGATACACTGAGAGAAATTGCTCTTTGGGAATTGATGCACTTCCCAGAGTGAGACTGAATTATGAACTAGTAATCATTTGCTGGTTATTCTGATTGTTTTCATGCTAATAGGTTATCTGGAGAAGTCATTGTCAGTCATTGAGCTATTGTAAATAGCCAGGGAGTGTCCTTTTTTTGCTGATCACTCAGGGTCACCTTCCCTTTTTCCTGAGAAAAGAGGGAGGAGACTTTAGCTGGGAGACTGGGGTCCTGGGACTCTGACTTCTCTCTGCAGACACTGGCTATGTGACCTTGTCTTGTGGTCCCATGGAGGGGATTAGAATAGAGGAGTCACAAGGGTCCTCTTGCATGTAGGATCTCATGCTTACCTCCAGGAGGAAGCAGAGACCCTGATTTCAGGACTCTTAGTCTGAGGGTGGAGAGTTGACCCAGATGAATGGAAGGTGTGGGGTGCCAGGCATTGGTGGCCATTGTTCCTTTATGGGACACTTTAGGAAGACACCCCCAGTGCTATATGTGAGATAAATGTTCAGGAACATGAAGGGAAGTTGGGCTCCATAGCTGTCCTGAGCCTCCCTCTCTCCTCCTGCAGGGCCAGTGTCAATCCCAGTTTCCGCTTCTGGAGCAGTCACGTCTGGCAGTCTCTTCTCAAGGAAAACCCTGAGGTGGCACATGGGTGTGTGTCCAAGGCTGCATGGTCCTCAGGGGCCACTGGGACCTCTGAGGGTCTAGATCTCAAGCAGGGAATTCTGGAGACACCAGTTCTGGGGTGGGCACTGTGGAGTCCAGGGCAATGAGAGATCAGGGTTCTAGCTCAGGTTCAGAAGCCTGTAGGTCTCCCTCCCACAGGCAATGGCCAGTCTTCCAGCCCTGATCTCTCATGGTGTTTATCTGCCTGAGTGTCCTATGGTGTTCGTAAATATGAACTCTGGCTCTATGCCAATATTTTTATTTACTTTGGAGACAGACTCCTAGGTCAAAACAAGTCCCCATGATATCTCCCATAAGAAACCCTCCCATGAAACTCAATGACCTTTCAGGTGTTGATCACCCTTGCCTCTGCCTCTCCCTGTATCCTGTAGTGCTCTGAGTCTGTTCTGTTCCCTGCCATGGTGAGTAGCGGGAGCTCTTGTCCTGTCTCCAGCCCTGAACGAAGGCCTATACTTACTACTGTAGTTACTAGTAGTGCTGTAATCTCCCGACCCCTCCCGCCCCAGACAGCAGCCTTGCTACGGCTGCTCTACAACCATGGTTTATCAAGAACTTGCTGCTATATGATTTTATAAAGCCCCATTTGGCCCATGCTGGGGGATAAGGATTTTACCTTCCATGGACTCACAGACCCTGAGTGATCACCAAGGAGGAAGAGAGAGGAAGCTCTGTGGGGATCTGGAAGTTGCTGCTTGAATGGGTAAACGAGTAAGGCCTGCAGAGGGTGTAGTCAGAAGACTAGCCACAGGTGTCCACAAGGCTGAAACCTGTATTTTGGGGAGGCATGTTTTCATCCTCTGGGATTCTTACAAAGGGCTTATTAAATGTTTGCTAGTTGGAATGACATCTTCAGCTCCCTGAGTCTCAGTTTCCCTATTTGGGAAGTATAGATTGTCACTGCTCCTCTCCAGGAAGCAGTCTTAGAAGACTAAGTGGATCCAAAGATATGCTGTGTGCAAGAAGCTCTTTTGCCAGGTGCTGGTGGCTCATGCCTGTAATCCTAGCTACTCAGGAGGCAGAGATCAGTAGGGTCATGATTTGAAGCCAGCCCAGGCAAATAGTTTGTGAGACTCTATCTCGAAAAAACCCTTCACAAAAATGGGTTGGTGGAGTGACTCAAGGTGAAGGCCCTGAGTTCAAACCCCAGTATAAAAAAAAATTAAGAAGAAGAAACTCTTTCAACACTGTAAAGTGCTGTACAGTAGTCAGCCATTGTGAATGGTGGCAATGACCGTCATTTCAAGGTTAAGTGTGGGGGCAGAAGTCAGCATGTGTAGGTGAAGGTGAGTAGATGGCTTGATTGGCCCAGGGGTATAGCAGGGGACTGGCAGCAGTCCTGGGAAGCCAGGCCACAGGACTCTCTTCCTAACCACATGAAAGCAGTTCAGCCAGGATCCTTGGAGCAGCCTATCTGATGCTAGCACAGGTGTGAGATTTCTCACAGATGACGCTGCCAATTAAAGGTCTCCCCTCAGCAACCCCACAATCCCAGCTCCCATCACTCCCTGAGGAAAGACAACTGGACTGTGACAAACTTCTCAGCCAAGATATTTCTAGGGATAATATGGCCAGGCTAATTACCCCATGTTAACTAGATAAGACTCAATTACATGAGCAAAGTTTGCAAACCCAGCACTTTGGGGGTTTTCCTCCAAAGTTATTTACCCCATATCTCTAATTTTGCTGGGAGAAAATGATTTCTTGCTCCCAGGCAAACTAAACCCACAAATTAGAGCAGTGGCTCTTTCCTGAGCCTTATAAAGGGGATCTCAAACTGGTGAACTGCCTCACAGCTAAGGGTTAGTATCTTATCCCAGCTCGCTGGCTTTCCCAACATGAGTCGCCAATTCACCTGCAAGTCAGGAGCTGCCACCAACAGGGGCTTCAGCGGCTGCTCGGCAGTGCTGTCAGGGGGCAGCTCGTCCTCTTACCGGGCAGGGGGCAAAGGACTCAATGGGGGCTTCAGCAGTCGGAGCCTCTACAGCCTAGGGGGTGGCAGAAGCATCTCCCTCAATGTGGCCAGCGGCAGTGGACGAGCAGGGGGCTATGGGTTTGGCCGGGGCCGGGCCAGCGGCTTTGCTGGCAGTATGTTTGGCAGTGTGGCCCTGGGGCCCTCGAGTCCACCCCTGTGCCTGCCTGGTGGCATCCACCAGGTCACTGTCAACAAGAGCCTCCTGGCCCCCCTCAACGTGGAGCTGGACCCTGAGATACAGAAGGTGCGCGCCCAGGAGCGGGAGCAAATCAAGGCTCTGAACAACAAGTTTGCCTCCTTCATCGACAAGGTGGGTCTATGGAGAAAGTTGAAGTTCCTCCACCTTCATTGCCCTCAGTGCCCTTCCTATCTGGCATGATGAAGTCTGAGAACCACTGAGGAACAAGTGGTAGGAGAGTCTTAAGAAGCAGAAACTTTCCAAGTTTAGGGGAGCAAGGGAGGCTCACCAGGGGGACAGTGAGGTAGGGTGGTGAGGTATGAATAGGAGTTTTTGAAATTGGGATGGGCAGAGGCATCCCTTGGGAGAGAGCATCTTTAGCATGATAGGACTTGTCTGGGGATGGGACTCTTTGTGAGAGTGTTGGGGGCACAGTGAAAAATATGGTCTATTTTCAAGGAAGCGGATTACACTATATAAATCACTATAGTGATTTACACTATAACTTGAGAGTGCTTGTTCTCCCCCTGGGGAAATACTGTTTGAGAATTGACCCAGGCATGAAAGCCACAGAGGAGGGCTGAGACCCCAGTTCAATTGAGTGCTGCCTTTCAGGTGGTTTGGGAGAGGTCATGGATAAGAGAGTGGGCAGAGCACAGGCCAGCCACCAGGCCCTGAGCAGAGGAGCCCAAGAGCAGGAAGGCCAGCACAGGCCAGCTTACATATCTAAGGACACACCTTAGTGAGGTGGCCTGGGATGGATGTAGACGTCAGGCCTAGCAGTTGTACAAAGTGGGCAGAGGAGACAGGTGGTCTAGGTCGTGACAGACCGAGAGGGAAATGAAGATGTTGGTGCCCCTCTTGATGTTAGGGGCTGCCCCGAGGGGAAGTGCCTGTATCAAATGGGGGGTGGGAAGGTGCTTGAGTGGCATTTTTCCAGGACTCACCTTTTAAGCTAACTTAGCAGAAGGAAACCCTGTGTCCTTTCTGCCCACTGACTGTGGAGTGACTGCAGGTAGCATTTGATTTGGGTTCCAGGTGCGGTTCCTGGAGCAGCAGAACCAGGTGCTGGAGACCAAGTGGGAGCTTCTGCAGCAGCTGGACCTGAACAACTGCAGGAACAACCTGGAGCCTATCCTCGAGGGTCACATCAGCGGCCTGCGGAAGCAGCTGGAGACACTGTCTGGGGACAGAGTGAGGCTGGACTCGGAGCTGAGGAACATGCGTGAGGTGGTAGAGGACTACAAGAAGAGGTGAGCAGGGACACTGTGCCCAGGCTGGCCAACTTCTGGGATTGGGATTTCCCAGCAGGCATTGGGGCATTTGTCTTTGGCTTCAGGGGGACTGAACTCAGGCAGAGCAGCCCACCTAAACTCATCTGCCTAAGCAAGACAAGAGCATTTTATGGGCAACCAGGTGTCTGGACAGTGGACACTCAGCTTCTCAGACAGTGACAGTTCTGTCCTGTTAGGCTCTTGTCATGGGCATGTTCCTTCTTGCTCTCCACCAGTGAACCCATGCATGTATATCCCAGCCTCCCTGTTCCTAAGCTCACCCAGTGTGCCCCGAGTTCCAAGGATTCCCCTGAGCAGGGTGGGAGGTGGAGTTCTTGCTTGGTCCTCCTCTTATTTCCCTTGGGTTGTGCACATTTCAACCATGCTTCTTTTGTTCGGCTTCTTTGGAATTCCTGCATCTGGATGGTATGGAGTTATTGATAGGGGTGCCAGGCAGCAGGGTTTCACAAGAAGCATGGCTGAAAGGGGTGGCCAGCACATTCCTGTGATTTGAATGCTGAGAGGGAGGAAGAACCTACTTACTCCCTAGGCATCAGAGGAAATCCAGACCCAGACCCATTGACCCAACCTACAACTTGGCCAAATATTCCTGGTGAGTTAGGACAGCTGTAAAGATGTAGAACAATGCCTGTTGAAAGATATGTAATATGGGCATCTCCTTTCTCTTTTCTCAATGACAAGGCACTGGGATGTGCGCACGCATGTGTGCACACACACCCACACCACACCCACATCCACACACCTTGCTCACTGGTGCTTTCCCCACAGGTATGAAGAGGAAATAAACAAGCGCACAACTGCTGAGAATGAATTTGTGGTGCTTAAGAAGGTGAGGCGGGTCCCTGGCCCTGGGTCCTCCAGGGTGGGAGCAGGGTATGAGCAGAGAAAGGATTGAGGTCTGCATTCCCCATGGAAAGGCCTGGGGCTGACAAGCCAGAAAGAATTGGAGGTTTGCTGCCTAGGACATCTTGGACACTAGCACCAATCACTTTGTCAGTCCTCTACTTGTGTAAAATGACAGGAGAGTCCAGTTTGGACACTCAGACCCCACCTCATGTCCATGTGCCTGGACTGCCTCCAGGAGGGTATGGAGTCTACCTTCTACTCTGCTCATCCCTGGGAAATTGCTGTGGCTGTCACTGGCTCACTAACTACCCAGTGACCTGCCATGTGGAGGAGGAACAGAGTCCTGTGCCATCTCTTTGAGAAAATGGCAGAAGATGTCTAGAAGCCTGAGCCCAAGATCTTGCAGTGAGTCCTGGCTGGAAGTCAGGTTCCTGCTTGCTGGGTCTTGAGTCCATTCCTGGGGCAGCTAGATGCTGGGCTCTAGGGTATCATTTTGGGGAAAGGCTTGTTGGGCTGAAAGAAAGGTGGTTTCCTGGGGTCTCTGATTCTCCCTTAGGATGTGGATGCAGCATACATGAGCAAGGTGGAGCTTCAGGCCAAGGTGGATGCCTTGGATGGAGATATCAAGTTCTTCAAGTGCCTTTACGAGGGGGTAAGGCTTCTTGCCCATGCTAGCTCTGTCTTCTGAAAGGGCAGATGTGTGATGAGTAGTTACTTATCTGTAAATTTAAGAGCCCAGGGAACTCCAACATTTGGGTGCTGGGGGCTTTGGAGATCAAAGGCAGGAGTGGTGCCCCATTAGTCCTTGTGTGGGTCCTTGGTGCTCCACTCTCATGTCTTACAGAGCGGCACAGGTCCCAAAGGGGTTCCCATTGAACTTCAGTCAAGCACAGTCTCACTCTTGTTTGTTTCCTCTCTGCTGCTTGGGATGGTTCCTAGGGTCTTGGGCGTAAAGGAAGAAGCTGGGTCTTCTCACACCCTTTGTACTTTTTTAAAAAAATAAATGTCTGACTTCAAATCTTAGCATATTGGCCAAACACCCATGGGCTCTTGTGTCCTGAGTGTCCTTTGTGTGGTGGCCAGGTAGTTTCCTTCTACTTTCCCCATTCCTACCCTATCTCAGGTGACCAGACATGGGCTGTTTTCTTCCTGGTCTGCTTCAAACCAATTCGGTGGTTTTTCAATATGGTATTGAAATCATGGATTGGTGATCTCAGCTCTGTTCTCACAAGTTTTGGGGAATGCAGCTAGTACCTGCTTGACATGGTCTGGCGCCATGCTGCTGGGATGGGACCATTGCCTTAGCACCTCCCTCTGGTCAAACAGGCAGTTCATGCTTCTTTGTTCTCCTGCAGGAAATTGCTCAGATGCAGTCCCACATCAGTGACACGTCCGTCATCTTATCCATGGACAACAACCGGAACCTGGACCTGGACAGCATCATCGCTGAGGTCCGTGCTCAGTATGAGGAGATAGCCCTGAAGAGCAAGGCTGAGGCTGAGACGCTCTACCAGACTAAGGTGAGGTTGCTTACATGTGTGGGTGCATCTCTTCTGGTCTGTTTATCTGTCCCGTGACCCATCATTGATCCCTGCTGACTGGGAACATAGGAGCATCCCTGGCACTGAGAGAAGCCTGAAGGAAGGAGAAAGCATGGCTCTGACCTTGGAATTCCCTTAGTCCTCCAATGGCAGCCGTAGTTCAGAGTAGGGACATGTGACCAGGTGGAACTGACTTCATGGAGGCAGAAAGTGCTGAACTGAGTCTGGGGAAAGGAAAATGAGTAGTTAACATTTCAGTTCCCTCACTCAGTATAACAAATTAGAAGTGTCTTAAGTGTGATCTGGGATCAGGTAACTCCTACCTTTTCATTCAATTCTAAGGACAAAAGGGGTGTTTGAGTCCCTTAGGTCTTAGCTCCTCTAATGGGTGTGGGTAGGAGGTGACTCTTCAGATAATTTGGTTTCTCACATCAAGATGGCAACTTTCTAATTATTCCTTGCTGTTTATCGGGCTCTTTCCCTAGGGAACTCACCCTTGGGAGACTTATCTCTCCCTCCCTCCCACTGTCTCCTTGCCAGCCAGGGATGAAGAGGTTTGGTCAGCTGGGGGAGGATGGAGGCTTTCAGGGCCTAGGAGACAACATAGGCTGGAGCTTCTTGATAGAGGCTCAGACTCGAGGCCTGTCCCCAGACCCTTCCACATTGCTGACACAAGCTAGGGTTTGGAATTGGCCACATGGCCTAGCCACTCAGGGTTGTCAGTGCTCAACCCGAGGCTGTAACCCCAAAGATATTTCCAGAAGAATTAGGCAGGTCTGCAAAGACATTATTATTGGACCATTTTCAGTTCAGGGTTATCTGTACCTTCACTTCTCCAGTTTGGGGTATGTACTTACTGAGCAGAATGTCATTGCTGGAGTTCTAATCACACTATTATGAGGGCTTATTCTAATTATTCCCCACTTAAAGACAAAGAAGTGGGGTTCTGAGCGTGCAGGCAACTTGCCAAGTGCCTTCAGCTGATAAGTGATGGTACTGGATCTGAGTCTAGCGGACTGACTACAAATTCCATGTTCTCAGACAGGAAGATCAGATCTGACCACTCAGGGACAGGGACAGAGGAGCATACCACCCCCCAAACTGCTGAAGCTCATACTTATTTTGTGTTCCCTGTGGGCTGGGATACAGCTTAGGTGTGCTCTCTGTTGACTATTCAATGGACAACATCAAAGGCAGGAATAATCTCAAACTAGTAGATGACCCTAAATTCATGGCTGGTGGCACTGGGGTATAGCTTAGTTCACCCAACCAAACACAAAAAGTATTTCTCCATGATAAGCCTTCTTCCCCCAGCCCAGCAAGACTGCCTGTAGCCTGTAGCCCAACTAAGCTGGTGAGAAGAGAAAGTCAGAAAATAGAGGTGGACAGCTTATTGGCTCCCTCTTCTGTTCATTCATTCATTCACTCGTTCACACATTCATCCATTCATCATCCCTTTTTTGAACATAAACAAGGCACTGTGCTGCTAGGTACTGGAAAGTCAGAAATTAAAGAAACCATCCATTCATTCATTTTGAGTGTGATGAAGAAGGCACAAAAATGTGACATCATGATACAGTGTGGTCTCATTTATGGGAGAAGGCCTGAGGATGTAGCTCTTCCCTGCTGACTTGGAGCTAGCTAGGGAAAAGGAGGATGAATAGAAAGAGCCTCTAGGTGGAGGGAGAAGCTCCTGCAGACTCAGAGACATGACAGTACGTGGGACATTTCGGGGGGGCACTATGGGACTATTTGGCAAAGTTGGGGAGCAGATAGTTGATATGAAGGGGCGATGAGAATGAGCATCTTGTTGCTGTGCTAGGAGTTTGAATTTGAACTTGAAGGGCGACAGGCAGAGGAGGGTCATAACTGCAGATGTGTATTACAAAGATGCAATATGCAGTGTGGAACCTCCAACAATCCTAATGGTCAAATCTAACTACCAGGGAGATCAGTATCCTTAAGGCAAGTGAGTCCAGTGACAAATGGTTAAAGGGGAGACTTTTGATGGCTTGGTAAAGTGGGAACCCTTTTCCACTTCTGCTATGTTCCCTAAGCAATAGCCCACACAGTCTCTGTGCCGGGCTGAGTTCATCCAGGTCCTAAGTCACGTCACTGCTTTGGTCCCTCTCCCCCAGTTCCAGGAGCTGCAGCTGGCAGCTGGCCAGCATGGGGACAACCTCAAACACACCAGGAATGAGATCTCAGAGCTGACCCGGCTTATCCAAAGGCTGCGTTCGGAGATAGAGAGCGTGAAGAAGCAGGTGAGGGGCTTGGGGATCCTGACTTGCTCCCAAGGGAGGAAGAATTGCTTAGCATGCCCGGTGCCTCTTCTTCCTCTTCTTGTTCTTCATCTCAGAACTTCCTTCCTCATTGCACCCCCATTCTCATCCTTCACACTTCACTCCCATCTGAAGTCTGGAATGATCACAGGGTCATTTCATGAAGTCGTACGGCTCAAATAATCTGCTTCCCAGGGCCATGGATGTAGCTGGTTCTTTGCATGAGGAAGTGGGGGGAAGGACAGAGGAGGGTCCAGCCACTGTGGGCATGTGGAGATGAAGTGAGGTCTGGGCTTTTTAGAATTCAGGGGTGGATGCTATCTCTTTCCCCTCAGTGCTCCAACTTGGAGACGGCCATTGCTGACGCTGAGCAGCGGGGTGAGTGTGCTCTCAAGGATGCCAGGGCCAAGCTGGATGAGTTGGAGGGCCGCCTCCAGCAGGGCAAGGAAGAACTTGCCCGGATGTTGCGTGAGCACCAGGAGCTCATGAGTGTGAAACTGGCGCTGGACATTGAGATCGCCACTTATCGCAAGCTGCTGGAGGGTGAGGAGTGCAGGTGAGTGGGCGGAAGCACTGGAAGATCCTTTGCAATCCTCTTTTCAGACTCCCCGAATGTGGAGTGCAGGCAGCTGGAGGGGCTGGAAATGCTTTTTGGTTCACCCAGAAATAGCCTGGAGCAGCATCCAGTCATATAATATATGAAAGCAATGTCCTTTGTATTTCTTCAGTCCCTCAGAGCCAGTCTCAGATTAGTGTGGCTGTGTCTTTAACACCTCTCAGACACTTGCAAATATCCCATTAATATAGAGACATTGTATCCCAAATGCAGAGTCTCTCAGCAGATAGCAATATGTAGCCCTCCGCCCAAATTAGTTTGGCTTTCATTATGTTTAATTGTAGTGCTACTTCTTTTCTTATTTGATTAAGCAATATTTGTTTTCTATTTATCCATGTTGATAACTTTTAAGAGAAATGAGCTTTTCTTATGAAAGGTAGTCTTTGGCAATGCAAGCTGAACATGGTGACAGTGACAGTTAGAAGGAGAGCACACAGCCTTGACATTTGGAAAACTGCAACACAGAGAGAAGTCACCTGCCCAACGTCACACGGCTCTCCCAGCAACTCCCAGTCCTAATAGTTCTATTCTTTTACTTAATTCAGGCAGCAACTTCTCAGTGATAAAGCAATGGGCTCATGGGATATTCCATGGGAGGGGCTCTGGGAGTGGTGTAGGTGTAGGGACCCCCAGGTTGCTGGCCCCCACATCTCTGAAGTGGGAGGGGTAGGTGGAGGAGGGAAGGAGGGGTGTGGAGGCAGCAGGGGCAGCCAACACCATCTGGCTAGCTGGTGGGGCTGGAGGAGGCTGTGCGGGTCTGGCTGGTGCCTTCTGGCTGGTGTTCAGGCAGGGGTGTGGGCAACACTTGGATTCCATGTGATGAAGATGCCTTATGTTTTCTCTTTGTGCAGGATGTCTGGAGAATACACCAACTCTGTGAGCATTTGTGAGTATTTCACATCTCTGAGGGAATATTTTTAGGCAATCAACAAACACAAAGTGAATGACTGAGTATCTACCATCAGAACATCTATGGAGCAGCCTGGGACTATCCCCCTCCATTCAGAGCTGCTTCTTTCCCAGCAGAGTCAGCTGCCCATCACACTGTGACACAGCACATTGGCCCCTTCCCCAGAAATCTCATCCATACCAGGATGAAACTCTCAGCCCTACCCCCTCTCCTGCCACCCCCCACCTTGGTTTTCCTGCATGAAGGAAAATGTGAACACAAAGAGTTGGACCTCTGCTCTGTGAGGGGAGACCTGTGCACAGACACACTGTGTGAATCAGTTTTAATGCTGGCCCCATTGGGTTCAGTCCAGTCTCCTAAGAGGAGGCAGCACAAATTCCCTAATTCAAGCCATTAGGAAATTCACTGCAAGAAGAAGCCTAAGAATGCATTCTAAGGTTAAATGCAAGAACTTGGCTTATCTGATGCGTGGGTGCCACTTGTCCTTTGGGGGAAAGCCCCAGCTACGCTCACTCATTCTAAGAATGAGCAGGAGCCTGTCTAGGGGGTTCCTGTAGGATCTGGGCTATTTTTCCCAGAGCTTTAGATCATGAGCATGTATCACTAAACCCAAGTTCAAGGCCAATGTGAAAGATTTGCTTAGGAGGGAGACTTTTGAGCCAGTTGGGGCTGGAGGTTGGATGGACTTAGGGACACTCTGTCTTGGGGTACATACTTATCCTCCTCCTTCCATCCTCCACAGCAGTCATCAGCAGCTCCACAGCTGGGCCGGCAGGCGCAGGGGCAGGCTTTGGCTTCGGCAGCAGTGGCACCTATGGTTATCGGCCCAGCTCTGTTGGTGGGGGCTACAACATACTGCCCGGGGGCTGTGTCACTGGCAGCGGAAACTGCAGCCCTCGCGGGGAGGCCAAGACCAGGCTGGGCAGTGCAAGTGAATTCAAGGATGCCCCAGGGAAGACCTTGGCTTCGTCCACCAAGAAAGCCATGAGATAGCATGACAGCCCATTCCCCAGCATCTACCTTGACCTTGTTTTCTATGGACTCCCTTCTCTGGGAAGTTCCTCTGTCCCATTTATCATCATCACCTTCTTGCTTTTCTTTGACACTATCAGTGCCTCCTTTTCTTTGACCTCTCTGCCTTAGTCTTTCTTAACCAGAATCAAGATTCTAGGGCTGGAGTTGTCCGTCCATCCTTCTGCCCCAATACAGAGACCTCTTAGCCAGGGTCCCCTTCCTAATGAGGACATGGGCTTTTCTCTGCCTACCTGTGCCCATGCAGGAGAAGTTTCTCTTTAGGGTGACCCTAGTCCACCTGCTGCCCTTCACACCCTGGCCATCTCTCCCTGGGCACGTGGGACTTCGGTGCATTGATGGACAGTCCTGCAAGAACTGTGTTCTGTTACACCAGCCTCAGCTCAGACCAAGGGCTTAGTCACAGGTTGTGTCTGGTATGACCACTGTCCCTTATAGAGTTGGGAGTCTCCTTTTAGGCTGGGCCTACCTACCAACTATGTGGTTTGGGCTTTGCCCTGTGAGTTCTTGACCTAGTTTAGGCCTCACCACCCACCCCTCCTTGGTGTTCCTGTGTTCTACTAATAAATTTATAAAACTTAAATGAGGTCAAACTGCCTCTCTCTCCTGAGGGAATGCTTGTCTCAGGCCATGTGTCTTCTGCATGTGGAGTGGTCACTGACTGTGAACCTGGGGTCCCTCTGTTCTAGAATTCCGAAGTATCTTGGTCTGAGTAAAAGAGACCCTGCATGGGCTGGAAGATCCCACCAACACCTGCACTGACACCAAGCATTCATCTGTCCCCTATCCCCAGCAGATGCTCCTTCTAAGTCATGCCTTTCTCACACCAATGGTCTAGTGAAAGCATGGTCTTCAGGAACATTCAGGATACAGTAGGGAGAAGGAGCCAACATTTATCAAGTAGCAAGAGGTAGGAGTAAGCCAAGTCTAGAAAGCCTCGAACTTAATAAGCTCCCTGTTCCATGGAAAAAGGCCCACAGGTGGACTCCTCTTTCAAGTAATGGCTCAAGTTCAAGGGTCCTTAGTAAAGTTTCCACTGAGTTGAGTATGGGTGTGTGTGTGTGCATATGAGTATGTGTGTATATGAAGACGTGCGTGTTGACTCCACTTTGTTTCTAAAACACTCATGTGCTTAGAGCTGTATTATGGATCCCAGGCTGTGATAATGCTGTCAGGATGCAAGAAGAAGCAAAAGTAAGCAGGAGAGGGCTGGAGGCATGGCTCAAATGGTAGAGCCCCTGCCTAGCAGTCACAAGCCCTTGAGTTTAAACCCAGTACTAAAAAACAAACAAATAAACAAACAAACAAACAAAAAACCAGCCAGCAAGAGGCTAGCACACATTCAGGTTGAGGTTCATGTATTGCATCTGAGCAGGGTCTCTGTGGGTCCAGAGAGAATCTAGACTACAAATCTAGAGATTTGAATTCTAATTTAGACTCTGCAACTAACTGTAATTGGGAGCATAGCTCTCAATCCATCTGAGCCTCTTTCTTTAGCTATAAACTAGGCAGAATTATGTCCCCAGAATGTCGTTAGGCTGAAAGGAGACAACACAGGGAGGTCTTGTACAGTTCCTGGCAGAAAATTGATGCTTAATAAATGTTAGTGGAAATAGAAGCTTGTTCTCTAAATTTTTGGTAAAAAAAAAAACTTGACTTAATTTGCTCACTGAAGGTGCTGAATAGCTGCTGGTAAAGCAACCTACAAAATTCAAACTTTAAAGATTATCTTGTAAGCAATAATGCCAGTTTGTTTATTTCCCAAAAGAGAACAGGCGGGCAGAATATCTAGTCTCAGGAATAAACACTTGGGGCCAGCGAGGAAGGTCAGTTGAATAACTAAATAGTATCTCTTATGTGCCTGGTGTGTGTCAGTACTGGGGATCCAGGGATGGAGAAACCTGCTCCATGCCTCTTAGGGAGACATGACCATAAAAAAGGTAACACAACGTGGTGTGGAAACAGCAAGCAGAGAAGATCCAGAGGCATCCATCCCAAAGGAGAGGGAGGAGCCTCGGGGAGGGCTGGGGAGGCTCTCAGTGGAACAATGTGTGCAGAGATTTCAGAATGTGGGTAGGAGCTTTGAGGTGGACCAGAGGAAGAAGTGGACTTTAGAGCCAGACGTGCTCATATGGTAAAATTGGTTACCATTGCTGGTGTATGAAGAGTGAGGCTGGGGAGGTGAAGCAGCTGGTGAGAGGTGTGGTGGCTCCTGGAACTGGGGCAGCATCTGCTGAGATTTTATGCTTCAAAGTGTGAGGGAGAATTGGCACCTTTGCCTTCAGATGGACCTTGAGTCAGGAGGACTCTGTCCCTGATTGTGACTTAGGCAGGATACTTCTGTTCCATAGGTCTCACTTTCCTCATCTGTAAAAGGGGTTATAATAGTAGTTATCCTATAAAGTTGTCATGACAATGAGATTTAATGAAACAATGTTTGAGAATTATTTAGGACAGTGCTGGTATTTAGTAAGTGTTCTAGAAATGGTTATTCTTTGCATTACGAGGCATAGATTGCTCTTTTAAGAAACTCAAGTCAGGTCAGGTATGGCGGCTTCTGCCTGTAATTCCAGTACTTGGGAAGTGGCGATCCAGAGGATCATGATTCAAGGGTGGCCTGAGCAAAAACTTAGTGAGACCTCATATCATACAATAAGCTGTGTGTGGTGGCACACTCTTATGGTCCCAGGTATGCAGAGGCTGTAGGCAGGTGGATCATGGCCTGAGGTTAGTCCCAGGCAAAAATGTGACACCCTATCCAAAAATAACTAGAGCAAAAAAAGGTTGTGGGAGTGGCCCAATTGGTGGGTGCTTTCTAGCAAGTGCAAGTCCCTGAGTTCAAAGCCCAGTACCTCCAAGAAAAAAGAAAAAGATGACCAAGTAAAAAGGGAAGCAGAGAAGGTCTCATAGAGATCAGAATGTGAGCTTCAATAAAGAGAATTGGCTGTTAAGAGATATTTCTGTCATCCAACTTCTATGCTTGGATGTAGATAATTAACCCTGACTGCCTCAGTGGACAAATCCTGGAATCTGAGCATCTTAATTCAGCAGAGCCTAATTTTTAACTCACAGTCCAGGGCAGATTAGAGCAGCTGTCTTCCCAGTGGGTCTCCTGGGGACTTATGCTCTGTCACATGGAACATGTGACCTCCAAGGTCACCTGAGACAGGAGGAGAGGGAGATGGAAGAGGCACCTGGACTGCTAACTGCCTCATCACCCTGTATGTGATGGACTTCAATGCCGCTCACTTTTCAATGGCCAACACTAGTCACATGTCCCCAAACCCCAGTGGGACTCCAGAGAAGGCTGGGGATCTGAGGGTATTTGGCATGCTCTGGCAGTCTGGCCTAAACTTCCCCAGTCTAGACACCAATGCCAAGGCTGAAAGCCCTTTTGCCTTTGGCCAGTGGTAGGGGATGTTGGGCACACTAGCTGAGTCCCTGCAAACTTCCTCTCTTTGGCTTTGACGATATAACCCTGGCCATATTGCTATCAACTGGATCAGGTTGCATTTTTAATATTTAGATCTCCAAGTTTATAGGAATTACCCTAAGTCTGTTTGGATTTGGGAAATCTAAGTCTCTTTAGTGGTGATAACTTGTTTAGTGTTTCTGAAAGTGTATTTCTTAAACCTCTGGTTCCCATAAGATATTTGACCAAAGAGAGGGATCTATCATTTAAAAATTGTTTTAAAAATGCTGATTTTTTTTTTACAAGAGGAGTACTTTAATTCTGATATTAGATTCAGCTTTTCTTCTCTTTACACTCTGGTTTTATTTAATTTATAAAAACATCTTATGGACATATTAGAAAAATCACAAATATTAAAAAATAGAAAAAACCCTATCATTCATAACCTTACTTCTCACTGTATGTTGAAAAGATTGTGTTTTCATCACCTTTTGGACAACAGAAAACAGTTATTGTTGTTAACATAATTTAGTGTGATCCATTTATTTATTTACTCACTAGATTGACATTTTTAAAAGGAGAACTTTAAGGTTCTCCTTTTAAAAGTAAAACTGAGAGGCGGGTACAGAGATTTCCCATGTGCTCCTGCCCCTCCCATTACCAACATCTCTACCAAACAGGTACATTCGTTACAGCTGATGAATGGACATCATTGTCACTGGAGTCCATAGTTTACATTAGGGTTCACTCTGGTGTTGGACTTTCTGTGGGTTTGGACAGATGTATAATGACATGTCTACACTATTACAATGTCATACACAGTAATTTCACTTCCCTAAAAATCCTCTAGTGTTAACGATATTAATGCATCTAGAAAGCCCTGCAGTAAGACAACTGCTTAACTTTTTTTTTTTAACTCAGCACAGAATCCATCCTTACTCTTTTTTTCATGTGATAGCTACTAACTTCCTAAGAAGCAGTATTTCAGGGCAAAAGAAACCATTTTAGTCAGCACGCCTGCAAGCCCCAGCTTGGAATGGTGTCACTTATTTTTTGTTGTAGATCCCTGGTTCCAAAAGGTGATGTTCCTAGCTTAGACTACCAACCTCTGGGGTTGCTTTAACCAGAGCCTGAGGTGACACAGTAAGCTGCTGTCAGAGGCGGGTGCCATGAGAACCCCTCCTCCCAGACCTCATTCACCTTTGATCTGCTCACATCCCACACATCAGACTCATCCATGTGTCACTGCTGTCTCTACATCATCTGTAATAAAGGTGATGGCAGGGGTTGAGGAGCTTCTGACTCATCCAGGCAGTGGAGCCTTCATGGGATGATAAGAAAAGGCCATTTTACTTGTTACCTATCCCTGGGCAAAACAGCCCTGGTCTCAGAGGTATGGGTGTCTCAGTTTCTTCAAAAGTTTCTAAAAAACAGGTGAACTTCAAAGACTTCCTTTGTAAGTCAAAGCTATGGAAGGATTCTCTTTCAGTTCAATTTTTTTTTCTTGCTTCTTTGTTCTCAATGGCAGGAATTGATAAACTTTTACTTAAGTTTGTGGGGGAAAAACCTGGCTAAAATTATGAGGCAGAGGGAAAATCTGGTGAAATAAAGAAAACCATAACCTGGAGCTTCTTAAAGGGCCTACTTGGGTTCCAGCCTCTCCTTTGTCAGTGCAGAGCGTCTGCTCTCTTTCCCACTCGGGACACCCCAGGCTCCTCTATCTGTCCATCTGTGTCTGGCGCCATCTCTACCACTCACCCGATGCCCCCACCACACTGTACAATGTGGATAAACAGCTTGGCTGTTAATAGGCCCTGATATTGGCTCAGTGGAAGCTGTGTCAGTTGCCCCCAGGGCACCATCTGGTCATCCCAGGAGGAGCACCAGGGGAGCCCAGGCTCCAGGGAGTAATTGAGGGCACACCAAGGAGCCCATCCTAAGCACTGACTGGTCTATTTCACAAACATCCTGAATGTCCTTGGTGCTTGGGCCTGTGCTGAAAACTGAGGGAGCAGAGGAAAAAAGGGTTAATCCACATTGTCAGTGGTATAGAAAGCTCTTGAAGCAGAAGCAGCTTGGACATCAGCTCTAGGCACCTCCCCTCTCAGGCCAGACCCACTGGAATTTTCCACTGAAGATCTTAGCAGTGATAACCTAGTAATTGGAGGGAAGCACGTGGAGATAAGGCAGCCAAATTATTATAATGCAGGAGATGAGCAATGGAAATGCAGGGTTCTGGGCCATTTTATAGGGATTCATGGAGGGTTCAAGTGCAAGAGACAAAAATCTTGGAGAGCCATGGTAATTTCCTAAATGAAGAACCCAAGAGGCCCCAAGTGACATACAAGGTGTTCCCAACATACAAATTAGGCTGACTCCAGCCTGCTGGCCTGCTCCTATTTAAGGGGCGAGCTGGGCCAGGAGTGCAGCTCTGCGCCTCTGGCTGCCCGCCCGGTCCACACTGCACCGCCCAGGCCCTGCGGGTCCTCGCCAGCCATGAGCCGCCAGTTGACCCTCTACTCCGGCGGGGAGCGCCTGGGCTTCAGTGGCTGCTCCGCGGTTATCTCGGGCCGGCTCGGCAGCAGTCGCGCCTCTTTCAGGGCCGGGGTCAAGGGCACAGCCACATTTGGCAGCCGGAGCCTCTTTAGCTTGGGGACCAGCCGGCGCCTGGCGCTTAGCGCTGCGACCGGACGGGGCGGAGGCTACTCGCTGGGCCAGGGGGGCATGGGCGGTGGTCGCCCAGGTGGCTTCGTGGGCACGGTCTTTGGAAGCGCAGGAGTGGGGCCCACGTGTCCGTCCGTGTGCCCGCCCGGGGGCATCCCTCAGGTCGTCGTCAACAAGAGCCTCCTGACCCCGCTCAACGTGGAGCTGGACCCTGAGATCCAGAAGGTGCGCGCCCAGGAGCGGGAGCAAATCAAGGCTCTGAACAACAAGTTTGCCTCCTTCATCGACAAGGTGGGTCCTGGAGCATCTTCCTGCTTCAGTATAGAGGGTACTGGCTCTGCCACTGATGAGCACGTGGGAACTGGGGCGAGTGCACACTTATCTGATCCTTTCTTCATTTGTAAAATGTGCACAATAGTGGATCTTACCCCAGTGAGTTGTAACCAAGACTAGCTGGGGTGTTTATAGTGCTTAAAACAGTGCCTGGCACACTCTCCCAAGGAAGGGGAGCCTCATCCTTCCTTGTAGGGTAAGACCTTGGAAAGGGAGGGGATGGCCCAGAGGTAGAAGAACTATGGAATAGGTCCTTTGAGGGCTCTCAGAATCAGAAAAGGAGGTAGAGACACAGATCTAGAATAGGGGCACTAAAGTAACATAGGCAAGGGAATGTCACAGGAATTGGCAAATGTAGAAGGAACTGAAAGGTAGCTGTAAGTCAGACAGGTTTCCAGGAGGGGAGAGAAAAGGGCCAGAAAGTTGAAGGGTCGGGCTGCAGGGACATTGGAAGGAAGGTATGTCAAGGCACATGTATGTGTGTGTTGCATGTTTGTGTGTGCTCAGAAATGAGGGAAAGTGTCTCTGGAAGATCTGGAAGGAATGAAGAATGGGCTTCTCTTATCTCCACTGGGGTAGCACATTTGAACCATGAAAAGTGATAAGGGGACATAATAAGGCTAATAGCTGACAGTGATGGAGACATTACTTGGCATCTGGTGCTGTCCCAATGACGTTTATTAGTGTACAACCCCTGGTTCTGTTATTATTCTGCCTTGCAGATGAAGAACTAAGACTTAAGGAGCCTAAGTTGATAGAACAGTCCACTCAGAGGCTGACTGGGAGAAACATAGCCTCAATTCCAGAGGACAGGGTCACTCTCATGTTTCCTTCCATCCCCCGAGCTTAAAGATAGGTGAGGAGAGGATGCAGGGTGAGTAGCAGATGTTCAGGAATGAAAGGAGCCATGTAAGGATGTGAGAACCTGCTTTGAACAACAAAGAATCTAATTGACCAGGAGCAACACAGGTTCCACAAGAGAAAGAGCATCCTAACCACCAGAGTGACTTTCCGGCACCCTTCCCAGTTCCCGTTTCCCCCCTGCTCCCTGCTTCCCAGCATTCATAGCAAGAGAAGCTACCCCAGTGACATGAACACTCACCAGGCAGAGGCAGGTGATACCATTGCTTAAGCCTGGCTCCCGATTTCTTTTAGACTATGTCTTATTTCTTGTCTTGGAGATACAGACGTGCATGCCCCCCTGACGAATCCATTCTCTAATGAGCTTTACCTTTCCTATACCACTCTTTTTTTTTATTAGCTTTTAAAAAATTATACAAAATAATAGGTTTCATTATGACATTTTCATACATTTACGTAATGTACTTTGATCATACTCATCCCCTATTATCCTGTCTTGTTCCCCCTCTCTTCCCACTGTCTTCTTCCTCTTCCCAAATAGTCCCCTTCTACTTTCATGTCTTCTTTCTTTTAATCTAGATTCCTCATGTGAAAGAAAACATGTGATATTTGTCTTTCTGAATCTGGCTTAATTTGCTTAACACGATGACCTCCATCCATTTTCTTACAAATGACATAATTTCACTCTTCCTATGGCTGAATAAAACTCTATAGTGTATGTATACCACATTTTTTTTATTCATTCATCAGTTGGTGGGCACCTAGGCTGATTCCATAGCTTGGTTATCATGAATAGCATTGCAATAAACATGGGTGGGCAGGGACCTGTTGTATGCTGCCCATCCCATCCTCGGGAGGCAAAAACATGGAGACTCTGGGCCATGACTACCTTTGGGTTCTAGGTGCGGTTCCTGGAGCAGCAGAACCAGGTGCTGGAGACTAAGTGGGAGTTGCTGCAGCAGCTGGACCTCAACAACTGCAGGAAGAACCTGGAGTCCATTCATGAGAGCTACATCAGCAGCCTGCGAAAGCAACTGGAGACCCTGTCTGGGGACAGGGTGAGGCTGGACTCAGACCTGAGGAACGTGCGGGATGTGGTGGAGGACTGCAAGAAGAGGTGAGTGAGAGGCAGAGAAAGTGCCGCTGGAGGTGACGTTTTGGTTTTGAGCCAGCATCTTCCTTAGATCCTTTGCTGAAAGCATTGCTATTTCCTGTCCCACAGGGGAGGGAAAGACATCCAGACAGAAAAGGATTTCGGAACACAAATCCCAGACCATTCTATCCAGATTGGTGCTTCAAATGTGTGTTCAATTTCTAGCATTGGAAATGGAAGAATGAGAGCAAAAGAACTGACTCAAACTTGACAGATGACCCAAGTGCTTTTGTAATTCCACTAATCCTAGAACAAATTTTAAAGCAAAAGCAAAAATTTAAAACTTGTTTCACGTTGAAGTGTATCTGTGCTGCTAAATCGCACTTTTAAAGAGAATAATTGGGCATGTGTTTGGCAGAAGAGGTTGGGTCTCCCTCTGAACTGAGCCAATGATGAGAGAATAAATGAATCTAGGCTTAGTGAACCTGGTATTTTGGAAATTTGTCCCAGGGTTTCTAGGGATAGGCGACTTCTTACACAGTTGCAGGGGGTGGAGATGGAGCTGAGTTCTTTCTCTGGCTCCATGTTCAGCCTGCCTGTCCATCCCTGCTCTGAAGTTCCCCTAAAGGAGACCCCTGACCGGAACCCTTCAGGGTCTCTATGCAATTGAGTAGTCTCTGTCCTCAGAGAGCACACAGATGGTGGGGACAGGCTTAAAGAACACTCTCAGATGCTGGAAATGAGCATGGTGTGAACCCAAGACAGGAATTGGAGCCCAAGTGGAGCTCTCAGCAGGGTTTGGAAAGAAGAGGGGCTGCCAGGCGCAGTCTGGAAATCCAGAGCAGAGTCGCCCAGGGGCTGTGCTGTCTCTGGGCCTTTCAATGAGTCAAGGTCCTGAGTTCCAGAACTACCACTCACTCACTGAGCAACCATAGATGAACCCCTTGATCCACGGTGGACCACGGTGGACTTCAGTATTAATATTTACAAAAATCAAATGCTGATACCCTCCTCACTACCTAAAGAGCTGTTGAGACAAAAATGCCAGACAGACATGTATTGACAGCTCTTAAGAGAATCAAGGTGCAACACACATGTGAGGCAATGTTCACCTGATCTTCGAAATCTGGGGTTTGAATTCTACCTTCATTATGAACTATCATTTTGACCTTGGCTGAATATTTTAATTTTTTAATAACTTTTGCCTCACTTGTAAAATTGGGATAATAATAGAATAGACTTCATAGAATAATAGAATAGGGCTATTGTGAAAATAATGAAAAGTTTAGCATGTAGGGGTAAAATATTACTTGCACTAATTATGATTATTTTAAAATAATTTTATTACTAATCTCATCAGTCTATGTATTCTTTTGTCAGTTTTCTTTTTGTGCCTTTCTTAAGACATTTCATAAGGGATTCTAATCATAAATTATACTTGAATTAGCTTTTCAGTGCATTTATCTTCCCATTAAACTGTGAGTTTCTAGAAGACAGGCAGTGTGTGAGTGTGAGTGTGTGAGAGGGTGTGTGAGAGTGTGGGAGTGTGAGGGTGAGTGTGTGAGTGTGTGACTGTGTGAGTTGGAGTGTGTGTCAGGCATCTTCACTGTATACTCTGTTTTTTTCTCATAGAAATTCTAAAATAACTAAAAAAATCCTCACACTTTTTAAAAATTGACATCTAAGAATTTTCTATCACAAATTTAAATAGTTGCAAAGGGTATAATTTCAAGCATATCATGTATATTGCTATTTTAAATTATGCTGGCTACATCATCCTTTAAACGCAGGTGCCATGGCAGCTTAATACCCACCATCCTGCCTCTGAAAAGTTAATAAACAAGCTCTCCTTTAAAACGCTGTAAACTTTACCTTGATCCTTTCCCATTTGAACTCCAATTTTCATGTCACCTTTCCTCTGTAATTTTATGACAATGTAACATATTTTTACGCCTTTAGGATTTTTTTTCCACTCTACCGCTTGGGCCACACCTCCAGTCCACGTTGTTCTGGTTATTTTTGGTGATGGGGTCTTGGGAACTATTTGTTCAGCCTGGCCTCAAACCGTGATCCCTTCCACGCTATCTCAGCCTCCTGAGTAGCAAGGATTACAGGTCTGAGCCACTGGCACCCAGCCTTATTATTATTGTTATTATTATTTAAAGTTTTAGCTTAGTTTTTGTGAAGGATTTATTTTAGTATAACAAGATAAAGTAGGGAAAAATGGGGAAACAAAAAGGGAGAAACATATCTTGCTTCCCACACAGGAAATGGGGGTAAAGACTCCACCTTTAAGTCTTTTATTGACACTGCAAAATATGCATGTAACTTGAAATTTCAGAAAGTTTACTTTTGGTGCTCATAAACTTTTAAGTGTTTGGAGATTTATTGGGGGGTTGAGTTATCAAACAAAATCCATTACTAATTTTGTTAAATAAATATTAAACACAAAAAATACAAAAAAATAAGGAAATATATTTCTTAAAGAGTTAGATGGGGCCGATTTTCTCCCAACTGACTTAGGTGTTCATGTATGAATACTGATTCTTGCTAGAATGAAATAGGATTCAAATCCTGTATTTTCTCAATCTTAGGTACGTTCTTTATTACCTTTATTCAAATGAATGGGAACTTTATTCAGATGGGTAGATTTTAACGGAGGGAGTTGTGTGACAGCAGTGTTATTCAGTTCTCTGAATGAAGTTTTTTCCAGGTTTTCTTTCTTCCATGGCACTAATCATTACCCAACACACACATTACATATATAATTGGCCCATTTATTATATTTATAGTTTGTCTCTCTCTCTGCTTCATAGGGCAGGGATAGCTGTTTGTTGGACTCACTTACCCCAGGTGCTTATAAAGTATCCCACGCTCAACGTGTACTTTTTAGATGAATGTCAAAATCACATAATGACTCATCCTTACCAATCTGGCAGTTTATAATTTAGGCAAAAGTTGAAAACTACCTGAATTGTAAAAAGGATTGTTTTCTAGTCAACAAGGTCATTTACCTTCCAAATTATTTTTCTGTATAGCTTTACTAAAACTGATCAAGTGATCACTGCTGATAGAACCTGTTTCTGACTCAGAAGGTCACAAAGAACTCTGAAGGGAACACATTGTTAGTGGTCCGTACGCTCCTGTTAATTCTTTATTTTAAAAGATCCGATTTTATCTCGTGTTTTTATATATGTGCACACATCCCACATGCACACATTTTTGAAGCTGACTATGGATTTAGCTCATTCAGGTTATAGAAGGTATCTGCCATCTAGTTTCATTGGAAAAGTCCATTTTCATTGTCAAACCAGAGAAATAAGAGTTGCTTTTTTCCAAAAAAAGTCTAACTTCATATTTAAATTTGTATAAAAATGTAAATATTACATTTGCTATTATAAATCACTCAGCAATAAACTAAGGAATACATCTTACTAGATTATTGAAAGCATTCAAGATGAAAATGACATAAATACAATCAACACATCAATGCTGTAAAACTTACATTCTAAGTAACTGACATCACTAATCTATGTAGATTTTGCTTCAGCCATTTAGCAATACTTTTGCAGGGAGGAGGGGCTGCCACTAGTCACCTTAGGGGTGAGCTAAAAGCTACAATGTATTGCTTGTGTTTAAGTATATGGGAAAAAAAGAGCTATTTTCTACCTTTTTTTTGCAGTACTGGGAGTTTAACTCAGGCACACTACCACTTGAGCCACACCTCCAGTCCTTTTTGTGTTGATTATTTTTGAGCTAGAGTTTTGTCATTTTATGCTCAGGCCAACCTGGACAGTGATCCTCCTATTTGTGCTTCCTTGGGTAACTGGGATGATAGGCACGTCAGTGTGCCCAGTCATTGGTCGAGATGGGGTCTTGAGAACTTTTTGCCGGGCCTGGCCTGGAATCTTCATCTCCTGAGAAGCTAGGATTACAGGCATGAGCCACCACACACAGCATCAATATTTTTTATTGTGGTAAAAAGTTTCATTGTAGTTAAATTTACCAGCTTAACCATTTTTGAACATACAGTGAAGTGGTACAACCATTGCCACCAGCCACCTCCATAGACTATTTTTATCTTGCGGAACTGACACTCTCTACCCATTCAACAATAACTCCTTGCATCCCTACTCCAGCTGAGCCATTCTACTTTGTGTCTCTATGATTTTGATTACTTGAAGAACCTCAGGATGGTGTGGTGGTACACTCACTGCAGTAATCCTAGCACTCAAGGCAGGAGAGTCACAAGTTCTAGGCCAGTCTGGGATACATAGTGAAATCTTGTCACAAGCAAGCAAACAAACAAAACCAGAACTTCACATAAGTGGAATCATGTATTTGCCTTTTTTGTGACTGGCTTACTCACCTAAAGGTTCATCCACGTGGTGTCATATGATAGACTTTCTTTTCTTTTAAGATGGAATACTGCTTCATCTTCTAAGACTGAATACTTTTTCTTATCCATTTACCATTATTTCTTTTCAGTGCTCAACTTCTTTGTTCTCACAAATGTCCTGTAATATGTTCTTTGATAATAGTAAGGGATGGAAGAAGTGACTCTTTCAATAAAATGATCAATAATCTTACCTTCCCAAATCCACAATAATCTATCAGGAAAACACCCTGGTTGCAACCAGACAGTGTTTCTAAGATCTTGCCTTGTCTGGAACAGGAATATATGTAAGAAACAGGTGTGACATGTGATTGAAAGGTGAGAACAGTCTACTTCCTGGGGACTTTTGCATCATTGGCTATTGATCCTTTCTGCTGTAACTCCAGAGAGACCAGCTGTGAAAGGGTGCTTTCACAGGTAAGTCATTTTAGGGCAGACTGTATGTGAATCTAGGAGCTGGAACAGTGTCCTTTGAACCTGCCCTTGCCCACATCCCCTTGAGGAAGGTTGTATACTCTTGGGAGTGGGGAGAGGTAAGCAACCCTCCCTCCACAGGTCTTGGTGCAGAGGTGGTCACTCACTGCTCAGTGAGGGTCTATAAGACTGACTTGTCCCACTTGTTCCAATGGCGATGTTGTCTCTTTGCTCACCCCACACAGGTACGAGGTGGAGATTAACAGACGAACTGCTGCTGAGAATGAGTTCGTGGTGCTGAAGAAGGTAAGAGTCCCATAAACAGGAAGCCTAGTGGGTTCCTGACCACCTGGTGCAGTGATGTTTATAGGATGAGGAAAGGGACCCTCAGGATCACTCTGTTCCCTGTGCAGAGGTGACAAGTCCTTTGCTTGGGATGCACACTGCTCCCAGCATCTGCCAGCTTACTATCCTGGCATTCTGCTGCCCTTTTGGTGTGGCCACTGCACTCACATGGGTTAGTTTGCTCTTAGGGGCTGGGCCATTCTTGAAGTAAGAGGTGAGGGGGGTGGAGAGAGCCAGGCAGTCTCAGCTGCCACTGGCCCCTGGGCGCAGTCTGATTGTCATGTGTGTCCCAGGATGTAGATGCTGCCTACATGAACAAGGTTGAGCTCCAGGCCAAAGTGGACTCCTTGACAAATGACATAAAATTCTTCAAGTGCCTCTATGAAGGGGTAAGGACCTTGATGATCTCTCTTGTGTGGCTGCTTCTTTTGCAGGTGGCTTCTGGCTTGTGGCCTGGATGGAATGGGAGGAGGAAGCCTTTCATCCCGGTGCACTGACATTCACTGAGGCCCTTCTGGGTGCTGAGTGATGGGCTAGGCTTTGAGGAGACCATGATGGAAAGGAAATGCTTTCTGTCCTCTGGGAGTCCATGGCCTGGCAGGAAAAACAGCATTCAGAGGAGCTTTGGGAGAGCAGAGGAGTACATGATGAACCCTGCCTCGTCCCTTAGGGATGGCGCCTGGATAGAGGAGGAAGATTTCAGTGGGTACTGGGAAGGGCCTGGTGCTCCAGCCTGAAGGAGTAGAGAAAGTGAAGATTCAGACACCTGTGATGTGTAAAGGTGTGAGGGGGTGGAAGGAAGTGGAGGCCTAGAGAAGAGAAAGGTGGAGGGTGACTTCCTTGAGACTTTAGGTGTCACATGAAGAGTTTGGACTTGATTCTGTGGACCAAGGGTGGCATTGCTGGCTTTCATGGAAGAGAATGCGGAAGGGTAGGAGGGTCCTGAGTGCAGGGTGGAGAGGAATGCTATAGCTTGGGGATGATGCTCAAGGCAGCCATTCTCATGCCTGATGGTCACTGGTGGTGAGGCAGTTCCAATGCTGAGAAAGGACAGAAAGGAGCAGTGAGGAATCAGCCCAGTGAGGACCCGGACAAGTGATCCTGTCCTAGGGACCTCCTAACTGGATCCTCTCCTCCAATTGTGCCCCAGGAGATTGCTCAGATGCAATCTCATATCAGTGACACATCCATCGTCCTGTCCATGGACAATAACCGGCAGCTGGACCTGGACAGCATCATCAATGAGGTCCGAGCCCAGTATGAGGACATTGCTGTGAAGAGCAAGACTGAGGCCGAGGACCTGTACCAGTGCAAGGTGAGCTGCATGCCAGGTGCACCAAAGCCCAATGACCACAGCTAGCACGCGCTCATCAAGCATGCATGTATGTGCTTGTGTGTGCATATATGTGCACATGGGTGCAGGTATGTTTTTGAGCTCAGTGAGATCTCCTTTGTTTGGAGTTGGCCTCATAGAAAAAATGCCTCCCTGTGGTCTAGGGAGATCAATCACAGTCTTGGCATATGGTAGCGACATAAATGGGGTTTAGACTTTCCTTTGCCATGGCCCTTTGCCAACACCTGAGGCCATATCAGCCACAATCTTAATAACACCCTGACACGGTTTCTGTGAGTAATCCACGTATCTCAGCTTCTTGTTTCCAATTTTGACAAAGTAAGGACAGAAAATCAAACTCCAACATGCTCCCGCATTTGAGACCCCAAGGATCCTATTGAACTAAGGCAAGGCCCCTTCTCTGCAGGGAAAAGAGTTTCCTTCTCCCTTCCCCCCACTCCTTCCCTCACTCTCCCTTCTTCACAGGTGCTTACACTGCTTCAATAACATGAACAAATGTGGCCACCCCCATGTGCTGAACACTCCTAAGCAAGTGAATTCTTAACTGCCCCATGCTTCTGTCTTGTCACCCAACTTCAGATCCAGGAGCTACAGATCACAGCAGGCCAGCATGGGGATGACCTCAAACTCACCAAGGCTGAGATCTCAGAGCTCAATCGGCTGATCCAGAGGCTTCACTTGGAGATAGGGAACGTGAAGAAGCAGGTGGGTCCTATGCAATGAATCAGTGAATGGGGTTTATTGACACCAACCTGAGCAAGATAGAATATGCAAAGAAAGTAAGGCCAGTTCCCTTCTTAGGTGTTTATAAGTCCTTGGGGGAGGGAAGGATCAGAATGCATATGGAAGGGTAGAGAGTTCACATTGCACAGCACACGGCGTAAGTGCTGTAGGACTCCAGAGGTTAAAGGGGAGCGAGGACGTGGAGGAAACTTTCTGCAGGTGGTGGGGTTACCCTGGGATAAGGGCAGAGGGGGAGAAGGTGTCTAGGTGAAGGAACCAGCAGGAGCAATGGATGGAGGTGGGGTGTACATAGCACATGTGCAGAAGGAGGGTTGCCAACGTGGACCAGAAGGTTTGCAATGCAGCAAGGGTGGCCAGGAGCACGGGATACCACCAGGTAGGAGCAGGCAAATTGTGGATACCTTTTAAGTCAGACAGTGGGATTTAGACCTGATGGAGGAGGTAAAGACAGTCATTTGCAGGTTTCATGTGATTGTTGGAAGGAGAATCTGAGGTTGGTTTTAGAACAGAATGAGGAAGAAACAACCTCCCACCCTGTCTGGGTGTGGCTGTCCACGTGGTGGTACTGTGTGGAGGGCACTGCTCCCAGCTCTTCTCTCCCGGGAGTATGTGATTAGAACCACATCTGTGCCTTCATACCTGTGGCTCAGAAGCCAGCAAACCTATGAGTTCCTTAAAGTTTGTGGAGGCCAGTGCAAGGACTTGATGTTCTCAATTCAATGGGGCAGGTCCAATTTGCCCCATTTCCTTGCTCTTCTCTTCACCCTCCACCCCCTCATCATCATCATTATCATCTCACACCCCCCCACACACAATTACTCCTCTGAGTATTGGTCTCATGACTCTGGGAAGAAGAAAGACCAGCATTAAATAAGAACTTACAATGTTTTTATTTAGTCAAGATCTGTATAAATGCAAGAAAAACATGTGGTGCTGAAGATGCCCTCAGCATTCAATTATGATATCTAACTGATAAAATGTGTGTGCACGTAGTTGGGAAAGGTATTAAAGAAGGTGACTTTTTGAGGTCAGAATGCAACCATACTGTGGCAGTCAGGGAAGATATCTCTGTGGAGAACCTGTGGGGATCCCTTATGACAGTCAGTCCCCATCAAGGCACCTTCTAAGGGGCCTTAGCCAAGTTACTCTCCTGCCCTTCTTGCCCCTTACAGCCCAGTCTCACATCAGAGTCTCTTGGTGTCTGGTGTCCCCAGAACTCATGTGTTTCAAAGAATGCCAAAAGTTCATACCTTCTTAACTCACACCACATTCATAAGACCCATGCTTTTAGCAACCCAAGGGATCCTGGTCAGTGACAAAGAACAGAAGACTATTGACTGAGTTAAGGTGACAGAGTTTGTTGCCACTTCTTTGAAAGATTAGAATTAGAAATCCATGGTCCCGAGGATGAGACATGGCTTTCCATGGCCAGGAAATTGGGTCCTGGGAGAGTCCTTGAGGCAGTGAGCCACTCACCCAAAAGCCTAGCTGAGGAGGTGGTACCAGATGGACAACATTCTAGAAACCCATTTAGCATCAGGATCAGCTGCTGTTTACCTCAGTGTGAAGCAAATTCAACTTCGTAGGAAGAAAGAGAAGAGAAAAAGGCTGGTGCTTAGATCCCATCAAAACCTTAGCTGAGTGACCAGAACACACATAGACTAAAAGGCTTAGGAAATCCTGAGGGCTCCTGTGCACACAGGCACACAGCCCCATCTGCCATGTCCTCCAGCAGGTGACATGATTCTACCTAACAGCAGGCGTTTGTCACCTGTAAAACCTGTTAGTTATGCAAAAGAATCTTTAATCCTGTCCTTGGCTTTTAGTATGATTCTCTGTGGGATTTGGGAGGGATGACTCAAAGTGTGACATTTGGACATTAGACGAACATTTTATTAGTAGGAACGTTATCAGTCCCTCATTTACAGGATTTCCTGAGACAATGTGTACATTGCAGATCTGTGTTAAATCTAGCCACCCAGAGACTTTTATTCAGGGTTGTCCTTAGTATCTTACATCTGATATTTCAGACCAGGAGGGACAAGGCCAGTCCACAAATCCAGACAGCCCGTCTCCTCAGTGCCTTTCCTCTCTTCTCCCCTGGCTGAAGACTTCTAGCTTCAGATGCTGAGGCTTGAGCTGGGGTGGATAATACCTGGAGGCAGGAAGGATGAGATTCCCCTCTGGTGGTGTCCAAAGTTTGATCAACCAGTAGTATCTGAGAGTCACACGAGAGGAGAGTGTCCAAGCAGGATCGCAGACCCATGTGCTGAATCTGTTTGCCCCTCAGTGCTCCAACCTGGAGACGGCCATCGCTGATGCTGAGCAACGGGGTGGCTGTGCCCTGAAGGATGCCCGGGCCAAACTGGAAGAACTGGAGAGTGGCCTGCAGCAGGCCAAGGAGGATCTGGCTCGGATGCTGCGTGAGCACCAGGAGCTCTTGAATGTCAAGTTGGCGCTGGACATAGAGATCGCCACCTACCGCAAGCTGCTGGAGGGCGAGGAGAGCAGGTGAGGGTTGGTAACTTTTGTCTGGGCAGTTTTCTCTCTGCTTTAGTAGAAAGCCCGAAGGAAAAATGTGCGGTTCTGTTAGTAGGTCCTACTAATGTAAAGTCGTACAGCAAATGGTAGGGAAGGCCAAAGTTAGAGAGCAAGAAGGACAAGTTGTAAAAATCCCGAAGAGGCAGTGGGAGAGGAAGTAGTAACAGCTTCATTATTTGAGAAGTAGCACATGCCCAGCCTCTTCATGGTGCATGTTGGAGAGGAACACACTTCCAAGAGTGTTCCAACTTCGAAGTCACTCTGGCAAAGCCTGGGGCTCGGTGAGGATGTGGGCTCATTCTTTTTAATTAACTAAAAGCATTAGAATAACTAGAGGGGATTGGAGTCTTAGTTATTCCACACAGTAAATAATCCCAAAGCCTCTGTTGGAGAGTGATTCCCTAAAGCAGAGTTTTCATCTCGATCTCAATTTCGCAAGGGGTCCTCCTGAGATATAAAAAGAAAGAAAGCTGGGAAGGGTTGGAGAGTCACATTCTGAGAGGAGAGGCCTAGACCCAGACGTGACTTCCTGGATAGAGGGGGTGATTGTTACTGAAGGATTTGTCTCTTTTCTTTTTCTTCTGTAGGATGTCTGGTGAATACCCAAATTCCGTGAGCATCTGTAAGTACCTGCCCATCTTGATTCTGCCCTTGGTCACCTTACCAGAAGTCTAAGTTTCTCTAATTCCATGACATGAAAGAGAAATTAGAATCATAGAGAGGGCTCAGGGGAGACTTCAGGACAGAAAGAAGGATCTGGCACTAGTAGTCAATGGGAAGCCATGATAAAAATATGAAATACAAAAGTACAGCCTACAGGAAGATCCAACGATACTCAACACTGTGTAATCCAACAATCTTCTGCAAGAATGATGTTTGGTAGCTACATTATTTGCCTATTAAGGCCAGACCCTAGATTGCAGGGAGAGGGATTGAGAGGGGCCTGAAAGGCTCCTGGTGAAAATGGAACTGAAAGAACCTCTTTGAGACTTAAGCCCAGGAGAGGCTGATGGGGAGGTATTGTGTACTGAGAGGCAGAGATACTCCCAGCAGCCTCTTCTGCATCAGCAGTGTAATGCCTAACTGCATTTGGTTCTATCCATGGTAAAACTCCCTAACAGAACCCTATCTGCCTAGGAGCCTAAAGTCTGATATTGACAGATTGACACAGACTGCGAGGAAAAGGTTGAATACATGGGGTTAAGTGTATGAAGAATGAAGTCACATCTGATCAGTGCTCACAAAATCACTAAAAATTAAAAAGTGAGAGAGAGCGCTAAGGGAGTGACTTGGGATGCTCTATGAGGGAGTCTCTGACCAGGTGTAGGGCTGACTAGGGTGCCGGTCTTCTCAACCCTCCCAGCTGTCATCAGCAGCACCAATACGGGCCCAGGAGGGGCTGGCTTCAGTGTGGGCTTCGGCACCTCGAGCAGTTACAGCTACAGACCTATGGGGCTGGAGATCAAGACCAAAGGAAGCTGTGGCAGTGAGCTCAAGGAACCCCATGTGAAAACTTCAGGAAGCAGCTGTGCAACCAAAAAGGCCTCCAGATGACGGGCAGGTGGTGGCTGTACCAGCAGAAGGCTGCAGACCCACCTGCCTCCTTCTCTCCTTCCCCGGGGCCTCTTTCCAAGATGGGAAGTGCTTTCTTCATTGCCACAATTCCAATTGCATCTCCTCTCCCTGTTGTCCTCAGTGGGGCACTGCTCTGACACAGGAAAACCTGTGGTGGGCGCTCAGTGGCCTCTTTTCTGGCCACTTTTCATTGAGTAACTGCCCCAAAATGCAGAGATAAAGCACATAGCCAGCATGTTTCCCTGCAGCTGGCTGCAAGCCCTCTGCCCTGTGCCTTTCCTGGGCCTTCACAGCCAACGGGTGACTCTCTTTGTCTTCTGATTGGGATCGTGTCTAAATCTCTGCTTCTCCCGCAATAAATGGTTGATGCCATTTGTCTTAGTCTGTTTTCTGTTACTATAACAGGGTACTTGAGCCTGGTTAATTTATAAAGAACAGAGGTTTATTTGGACTCATGGTTCTGGAGGTCTGGGAGCATGGTACCAGAATCTGTTTGGTTTCTACTGAGGGCTTCATGCTACATCATATCGTGGCAGAGAAACAGAAAGGGGGAGTGGCGGGTATGTGGGGAAGAAGCACGTGTATGAGTGATACTAAGGGGGAAATGCCAGACTCACTTTATAATAACTCACTCTCAGAGAACAAATCCAGTGTCTCCAGAAAGACATTATCCATTCATGGGGACTGTGCTGTGCCCCCATGACCTAGTCACCTCCCCAAAACCTCACCTCCTCGCACTACTGGGGTTTAAACTCATGCTTGCTAGGCAGGTGCTTTACCACTTGAGCCACACTCTCAGCCCTTCATCCTAGCTTTCTTGGTCTGTCTTCCTCCCCTCTGGGTCTCCAGCCTCACCTGGATCTTTGCTGTGTGGTTCCAGTCAGGTATGCACGGGGTGGAAGTTGTCCTGGTAAACAGCTGAGATTTATTACTGACACAGCTGCTGTACATTGCTTCACATTCCCTGTGTCACTTATGCCTTGTGACATGGGGCAATATCTCCCCTTTACAGAAAGACACACCAGGACACCAGAAGTTGGAACTTGGGCTTGGCTTGTTACTGAGTTTGTGAAAGGCCCTTCAGTCTCCCACACTCACTGCCTGCAGTTGCTAGCGTGGTCGTTCTGTCTTCTCCTTCACCGCCTCTCTCTGCTGCCATCCAGACCCCAATCCCCTTCTCTGCAGTGGCTCTCCTCTTCTTCCAGCCAGGTTCATTTTCATCCATAAGCATGGGGGCCTGTGTGCATAGAAGCTTCTGGATACTATGGATAAACAGTGGTTCTGTAACAAGTATTGAGTGAGCCAGGCATTGTTGAGGCACAGAGCCTGAATAAGTAATGAGGCACAGACCTCGTGATTTTTACCATCATGTGATGGTAAAAATAAGCAGTTAGCAAAGCAGGGTGTAACATGGTGTCAAGCGGTGTTAACTCCTGTGAAGAAAAATTGAGTAGAGTTAGGAACGAGAGATTTAAAGGTGCTTTTTGTAGGCTGGTGTGTTTCTTTGGGTACGTCTGTTTCTCAGTCTGTTAGCACAGTTGATTTGAGCAAAATCTTTATGGGAGACACTGTCTTTCAACCATGAACCTTGTTAGAGGGTGGTGGGGCTGGAGTCTTTTCATTTCTCGACCCCGTCTCTCCTTACCTTGACCCTCCAGCCTTTCCCTAAGCTGGCCAGGCTTCCCATACCCAGGAGCCTTTGCAAATAAGATTTTCTCAACCATGGTATCTGTTACTCACATATTGGAAGCCTGCTTCTCTTTTGTGGCTAGGCCAAAATGCCACCTCCTACATTCACAGGGGACCCTGTCCCTCCAGGTGGAATCCATCAAACCATCTAGCACAAGAGGGATTATTTGAGCTTCCTGCCTAACAACTCCTCCCACCCCCTACCCCCACTCCCATCCCTATTCTATAGGCCGGCAAACTGAGGTCCTAAGGGTAGAGTGATCTGTTCACAGCACCACACTGGGGAGCAGCAGCGTCTGGACTGGTAGTAGCATATCCATAGCACCAGCCTAAGTCCTGTACAGTTCCTGCTTTATCTTCTTGGTGTCGTGGCAGCTGCTCCATGACTGTCCCTTCTTCCGCCCCCATAGCCTCTTCCAGGCTTCTCAAGTCAGACCCCGCAGCAGCAGCCCTCACCACATATGTGCCACAGGAATGCATGGCTGTAGCCCACCTTGCTGAGGAAAAGGCTCAACACACCCATGCGTGTCTGGGATGACTTGGCATGCCAATGATGAAATGAAAATACATTCCTGTTTTATGTGCCTTGGTGTCTGCAGTGTATATAAGTTATTACCCACACTGGGATCCTTTTGTCCTGGGCAGATACGAAACTGGATTCTTGAATGATAGGCAAAGCCAGGACTGTCAGGCAACTGGTCCTTTCGAGCCTGGAATTTTGTCTTCAAATTTGGATTCTTTTAATGTCACTTGTGGCCCAGTGCAAGACGTAGCCCTGGTAAAATAGGATTGACACAAGCTGGCCTTTGTCTGGAGCTTTCTATACGCCAGGAATTCTCTGCACTGTCTAAGCACTTCCGGTCTGGCGACTCAGTTAATTCTCCTGGCAAGTGCATGTGTGTTATTGCTAGGAGCTGTTACTGGGATGTCCCTGTCACTTGTGGTGATGCTGAGGCTCAGTGGGGTTAGACAGAGCACCGGGAGTCATACAGGGAGGAAATGGCAGAGGTGGGAGTTGAAGCCCTGCCACTTCTGGAGTCTTTGCTCCCAGCAACACCACTTCATTCCTGCCAGAGACCTAACCATAGAGGACCTCCGAGAATGACAAGAGGTCATGGAAGCAAAACAGTGCACGTGCTCACTGTTGTAGGATTACAAAGCACATTGTCTTACTACAGGAACTCTTTTGGAGAAAAGAGTCCTTCAGTAATTTGATTGCCGTGCAAGTGGCATAGAGTGCTGTTGCACACCGATAGATGGTGTAAGTCAATCACTTGGTGGTGACTTTTTTTTTTGAGGTACTGGGATTTGAATTCAGGGCCTCGTGTTTGTGAGGCAGGTGCTCTACTACTTGAGCCTGCTGCCTGCCCCTTTTGGTGTAGTTATTTTTTCAAGTAGAGTCTCATGATTTTTTGACTGGGCTAGCCTGGACCTCGATCCTCCTACTTATTATACCTCCCTCAGAGCTGGGATGACAGGTGCACACCACCACACCCAGTTGGTTTGGTTAAGATGAGGTCTCCCTAACTTTTGGCCTCTGGAATAAATGGAATTACAGGTGTGAACCACCACGTCCAACTTCCTGATGCAATAAAGGACACAGTAAATACAAAATGAGGTTTCATACCTCATTTTCGTGCTTGCGTACCACGGCATGCAATTTTACAGTGCACTTTTCCTAAGTACAAGAAGTATATTTTAAAATCCTAATAAAAAGTATAGTATAATAAATACAGATACCTGGGTATCATGACTGCATATCTGCATGTCCTGTAGCTTTGTTTGGGACATCACAAGACAGAGTAAATTTTCAGCCCTGTTAAAACCTTCTGGGACCACCACGGTGTATACTGCTGGTGGTTGACCTAAACGTCAGGCTGTGCATGACTGTATTATTGACCCGTGCTTGCGGGGACTTCTGTGTGTGTGGGCTGCACACTGGCTTGTGCCCGAGGAGTGCGACAGCTGCAGCACTTGCCCAGAGGCCTGGCGGAGGTGGGCTGAGGGCTGGGGGTACTTCAGGGTGTTGGACTCATTCCTTCCCTTCCAGTCACCTGCTCTTGGGTGCTTTTCCCAGCCCACAAACCCTCTTGGGCGCTTCTATTTTGTGCACACACTGCCATCTGCCAGCGGCTCCAGGTACTGCACCTCCTCTCCCTAGGTGAAAGACTTCTTTCTACAGCAGGAAGGGGGTGTGTGGGGGGTGACGATCTACACAGGCTGTGTGCCAGGACAGAGGGGCCAGCTGGAGGAGGTGCTGTTTCACTCCCTGGCATGCCCAGGCTGGTTCAGCCTCTGTGTTGCCTGGGCCCTGGTTCTGTCTCTCCTCTCCCCTCTCGTGGGAGGGAGAAGGGAGCTGGGGCTGTCGCTGCTGCCGCCTGAACCTCCTTGCCAGTCAGAGTGCTCAAGGCCTTCAGACATCTCTTCCTCAACCGGTGCCTAAGAATCTTGATGCTGCTCCAGATGTCGTGGGAGTGAGAGCCCCTTCATGCAGCAATCCGCGCCCCCCAAGCCCCACCAGCACGCTAAGCAAACCCCAACTCTAGCTGCAAAGAGGAGCTCTCAGAGAACTTATTTGATTTCATGCAGCACATAAGCCAGGCATAGAGGCATTGACAAGGCACAGCCAAGGGACTACAGAGGAAGGGAAATGTCAAAGCTGAACACAGGCAATCTGGGAAGGCTTCTTGAAGGAGGAGGTAGAAGGGACATGAATTGTTGGAGACAGGGAGCTTCTTAAAGACTTTGTAGGTCTCACAGGGCAGCTGCTTTGGGGTTTGAACTGCACTTTGCCAGCTGCCTTCTATTTCCCTTCCAGGACTCCATCACTTCAGCACCAGCGGGTGACAGTTGTGCGAAGGACAGCCACTCTGCACCTTTTCTCCATCCTTACTTTTATACTTGGCAAGTATTTACAGAACCACAAGAGTGCTGAGGGGTTCCCTCTCCCACCCCTGCCAGAAAAGTGTCCACACCACATCCCTGTGTTGACAGAGATTCTCTTAGGAGGCTTATGACTGAAACCTTCCTCCAGGGCTAGAAGGGAAGTTAGTAGTCACGCAGTGTGGAAGGACACACACTGCAGCCTGCTAGGATCTGAATCCTGTGTTTGTTTCTGTTGCCACTTATAACTGATTTGGACAACTCAGTATCCCTGCTTTTTTTTTTTTTCCCAATACTGGAGTTTGAACTCAGGGCTTTGAGCTTACTAGGCAACTCTACCACTTCAGCCACAGCTCCAGCCCTTTTTGCTCTGATTATCTTGGAGATGGGGTTTTCAAACTTTTTAC